CTGAACAGATGGTCCGGTGTTCAAAAATAGGAACCGGACCGAACCGGACTTAGCCATCACTAGTTTTCTATTGAAGAGTTAGCCACTCCTTATCGGGACTATTGTTGGCTTCAAAGAAAGGCTGTTTTGACTAGCATGTAAATGTGGATTTGTCAGCCCTCCGCACTAGTTAAGATTCAAAATCCAACCAAAAGATTTCTATATACAGGCAAGCACCCTGTGACTCAAATCAGCACAGGTGTGACACATGACTGACAAATAGAATAGAATATTACTGATAAGAATCAATATACATATTTACCCACTTTTTATTGGACTTGTTCTGGTTTTGAAGATAGATTCGTCTGTCTCAACTTCTGATACCCAAGATGTCTCCATCTCCAGTCGGACTCTACTTCCACCCTTGCTACTCTATCAGGCATATCACTGCAGTCTTCCGGATGATCCCCTGGGACCTGGCTTATGACATGGTCCAGCAGGATTGATTCTACTTTTGCCCACTTTTTGTTGGGCTTGTTCTGTCAGCCTAAAGCTTTTATTTGATTTTCACCCACTTTTTTATGAGAACTATTCCTACCCAAGTTATATTCAGACCTTTTTGATTTTAATATTGATGAAAATTTTGATTTAATTTTTCTTGGGCTTCTTCTGTGGTAGCTTACTTGATACAGTGTGACTATGTGACATGATCTGTATGGCCTATGTGGTCCAGCCTGATACCCAGATACTTTGATTTGATTTTTACCCACTTTTTATTTTGTCAAGAAATACTAGTAACATCAAGGAATTACCATTAAGCTCTAAATCAACATTTTTATGCACTTTTAACTAGGACCAAGTACAACATTGACCTATCAATACCAAACATTCAATGTGTGCTAGATTCTTATTAGAAAAAGTTTTTATTTGATTTTTACCCACTTTTTATTGGTACTACTAGTTGGTAAAGCTGTCCAAAGCTGGACTTTTATAGCAAAAATCAAGGTTATCAGTACTAAGAAACCCAAGCACTGATCATGTGATGAGGTAGTTGTCTTATTTGGTAATTTCCCAGTCACGTGAGCACAGCTCGGGGCAACTGATTTGACAGCTTCAAGCACCTAATTTCTAAATTCAGCTTTAGCTCACTGCCTGTAGACTAATGTACAGATTTGTTACCAGAATTTCTTCTAAAATCTGCTAAATTGCTATTCTAGGAAGGAATATCAGGCCCTAAAATTACCAATTCAGGAAGTGGTTCAGTTCAACTAAGAAAAGTTTTTTATTTGATGATTACCCTTGACTTTGCCACTTTTTACTGAATATTAAAGCCTACCGGATTCATATCAAGAAAAGTCTTTATTTGATTTTTTACCCACTTTTTTTTATTGGGACTAGATTTGTTTCCAGTTATATAAATTGCCATTCTGGGAAGTAATTCAAACCAAATTAGGCTGTAATTCAGAAAATGTTAAGTTTCATATCCACATATCATCAAGAGAAGTTTTATTTTATTTTAGTGACCTACTTTATGAACTGAAATTATTCTTACTTGAAACTGACTGTCAACATTGGGAGTTGAACGCAAGACGATGACACAACAGATCATCCCATAACATAACATTTGCAGGTCCGATCAAGTATTCCGTGAGAGGGTGACGCCAAGTGGTCACACATAACCTCTCTCTTTCTCTTTCCCCCGTCGTCACTATGCTGGGTGGTCGGTGAGTGCTATAGCTCTGGGCTCCAGCTGTTGTCTAATGAGCAGTCAGCTCTTGCTCTGACCTGAAGGGCGGGCGAGCAAAGAGCCCATGTTGTTAGAGCCAGTCTCATGGCAAGCTAGCGACACTGGCTGTTATTGCTCACTGGCACCAACACTGTTACCGGTCCTGCTGCGCCTTCTCCGGTGAGTGCTTAGTCATCCTTCCTTTTTTTTTTTGTTGCCTCTGTTGCGCTGCCTTCGGGAGGGGAAACCCTGGCCTGGAGTTGAAGAAAGTGCAGAATGGGGTTGGCTACCCAGAGCACGCGTTTGCTAAGCTTAATTGACGCGTTTTTAGGTGCATCTCAAACTCACTCCAGCCAAAACTATCGTAAAATGGATAAAAACGCGCAAGTCCGAAATTAAACGCGACGCACGTGACCGCGTTGACTTGGCGGCGTGGGCGTGGGACGCGCCGGAGCCGAGGTGGAGCGCCGAGGATGAGGTGGACGAGGACGCGCGGCCGAAGATGCGGCGATGCAGCGGTGCGGCGGACGACGGGTGGTGCGCGGACGCAGACGCAGACGCAGACGCAGACGCAGACGTGCTGCGTGACACATCTTTCATGGATGACCCCAGAACCTCTCCAGTGGCAACGCAGATTCTACAAGACTACACATGCTTGAGGATCTTCGCTTTTGTGTGGGTGATAGAGAGTCTGCATGGGCAGATGGAAGAAGTCGAGAGGTTTGGCGAAAGCGTCTTGCACGACCCCCGGTTTGTCGCAGGGACATATCCACGAGGCGAGGGCGCTCATTTGTGGCGCGAGTGGGAGCTCACGGCCAAAGGACTTGCGTGTGACTATTGGGATCGTGCAGAAAGTTTTGTTAAAAGAAAACAGAAGGGAGAAGTCAGGGGTACATTTTCATTTGCTTTCCAGTTGTGGACGACTAGTAATCTCGAGCACCAGCCACTGAATTCCAGGTGGATCAAGCATGCGTCTGCTCGGGTCCTCGATGCCCATCACGGTCATTCAGAACTATTTATCCATAATGAAATTATTTGGTGGATCAGTAGTGGATGGGGCAGTTTTATTTTACAGTCTGCTTATACCGCAGTAGCTCTCACACGTCTAGCGCCTCCTTGCCGATGTCTTCCTTCCCAATCGGAGTCTCCGGTAACGAGTCGGCCTCCGAGGAGACATCCTGCTCATACTGCCCACGTTCCCGGCTGACCTCCACAAATCGCGAAATCGACACTGTAGTCAGCGGGTACGTGTAGCTGGAGTTGTGCCGTCTGCTGTTAGCCCGGCTCTGGGCGGGATCGGAGTTCACATTCCCGGCATCTGAGTGGCCGCTGGATGGCGAGGCCAGTGCCAGGCGAAGAGTTACAAGGGTGAATGTGACGCCCTATCGAGAGAAAGAGTCAGTGCGTGATCCACCAGGGAAAGGCAGTTGATTACAATGATTGAGGTCGTCTAGAGTTGGCGTTATATTTCCAAGTGGGCACTTGACTGGAACGACAACGCACCAGATCGAGCAGGATATAGTGGGCGTTGTTGCTCAGCTCATAGACAACCACCAAGGCGAGAACAGAAGCAGAGTAGATGACGGCAGACTCCACAAAGATGATCTTAATCGTCGTTAATTTGAGTATACAAGGGGAAAGAAACGAACGAACAAGTGCAGTTCTGATACGACTGGCTTGCAAATTCCTTATTGATCGAGTACTGAGGATTCGATACGCGATGGCAACTTGTCTAATCAGATGGCGCAACACCAAAAGCATGTCAGAAACCCACCTGTGCAGAACACATTCAGCGCCAATGACGCAGCGAAGAAGGTCGTGATCCACGGCGCAGGGCCTTGCGCAAATATGCCGTTCTTTCCTGCAAGAATTATGAAGTGCAGGCTGCCGAGGCCGCCCGCTAACCAGACGTTAATATGATATTTGGCTATTCCACCAAAAGGCGAGACCTGCCTCCGAGACCACACCAGAGAAGGACGGGGAGGAGGACGACCGCCCACCTCCGATCCCACACAATATAGCAGCGGAATATCTGAAGCCACACATTAATTGAAGATGTAATGGCGGAAAAAAATCCACACCATGAAGAGGTCGCCGGCCATAGTGAGCAGTACGTATAATGCGTCTTTGGCGGGCTCCAGAGGATTCGCGAGGTTGTTGTAGTATGCAAGTGGGCCATTTGGTGAGTACACGAAAGCCTGTACCGCACGCGTTATGTCGATTGCCCAATGCTGCAATGGGATGAATCAGCAAACAACATCTAATAGCTTGAATGGTGAGCTACCGCAACAGAAAGTGTCCACATGAGTAAGAGAGTGGGCAACAAAAGCTTATTAGCCATCCTAACACGTTGATTGTACATGAGCCAGAGGGTGATGGCCAGTAGGACACAAAAAGTTGCTTTAATCGGTGTGAGTAACGCAGAAATCGGACACGGATAAGAGAGCGACTATTCACCGAAGTTGAATGTCTCCACAACCAATGCAATGAGCTGGGCCTCTACGGGAGACAGAGAGTGGTGAGCAGCTCGCGACTCCATGAGGAGAGCCATTTGGTGAGAGGAAGGCCGGTCGAATGACCTTGAGGCATCGGAGAATGATATAAGATGGAAGGAAAGTTCTTCAGAGCCGTTCACGGAAATCAGCTAGGCTCCATGGGCGATAACAGTTCACTATCGACGGCGGCGTCTGATCTGCTTCCCGGAGAAGAGTAAGCCCAAAGGAAGTTCACTTGTGGTTGGTGTACTCACCGCGACAGGCGTGGGTGTGTGGATGCCAGCGTCCTCTCTGGAAGAGCATGGAAAGTGCGTTCAAGGACAACATGTAGTATGCAGTCCTGTAGACCCTCGGTCAGTGCGTTCCGCTGAATGGTATTTCGCTCAACTTGACTTTGGCTTCCAGCATTTGAATATTCCACGCAAGTCCAGGCTTGAAATTGACTGGCGAAACTGTCCTTGTAAGTCATGCAGTCAGGCTAGCCCTTGTAAAAGCGGCTCGCTGATGAGCATCCGGAGTCATGTATGTGCACTGGCACGCTTGAATCCTGCTTGAACGACTTGAATCTACGAGGGATTGCCACGTCACGGTTTGATATCCGGTCATCCGCATCATCTCCTGGCAGACTCCTGCTTCCTGCTACAGTGACTCGAAAGGATACGAGTGAAATGGCATTGGAGTCCGATAACACATTCCCTCCCGCAAACTATTATAGGTCAACAAAGTGCAACTACTTGTTATCCGGTATTGACGAGCGCAAGACCAACACGGAGGCCGGCCACGACTTGACAATGACGCCATTAAACCCATCTTCGGAAATTCCTCGTTTGAACATTGAGCTGCACCCCCCGCAACTTTGCATTCCGCCATATGTGCAGCATCCACTCATCCGGCGTTGCATCATTATACTCCATTTTCAGTTCTATCCGAGAAAGGAACACAAAGTCTCCATGGTCTGTCAACTCCGGTGTTTGGCATCGCTCTGTGACGACATCGCACAGAGCACAGAGCATCTCGTGTGCCCCTGCGTCGTATTTCCTGTGTGTCGTAACCCGAAGCGATTGTAGTTTTGGTAGAAAACTGTCATGAGCAGTCGAGTCTGACTCATAAATTGAAAGCATCTTGGTGAACAGCGAAGCGACCGTTTGCGCCTCTGTCGCGTCAAAATCTAGCTGCTCTAGACCGGGAAGAGTGGCCAGCAGTTCCAGTACATGCTGAGTCATGGCGCCGCGGATAAAATAGAGCTGGAGCGAGCGGAGATTATGAAACACCGATGAACGTTCAAAGAAGAATGAGATCGCGGTCAAATCTTCAGCGTTCAGACCGCCCCGTTCAGTAAAGCCCAGCGACGCGAGAGCGGGGATTGTCAGCAGCCGAATAATATACGCGGTAAGGTTCGATCCACGTAGGGAGAAATACTCCAATTTCGGGAGGCTGGATGCGGGGATAGCGCCCAGTGCCGGTGCACCGAAGGAGTCGATATTGACGTCCGCGACGCACTTGACCAGACGCGGAGTCATGAGAAGACATCGTAACAGGTCCTCCGGTCGGGTTTTGGTGAATGTGAGGGATGTGAGTTGGTGGTATGGAACATCCAACTGGCTTGGGCGGGGAAGGAGACCGAGGGTAAGATGTTGGAGCATTGGAGCAATTTGGAAAGCCTTGATCTGAGGAGTCTCTGCATCCGCGTCTGTGTCGAAGGCGTCGAGGCTGAGGCGACGTATACTCGGTATGGGGATGGTCGCAGATAGTTCCACAAGATATCGTGAGGAAACCTTCAACGCGATTTCTTTCCATTGTGCTCTATAACTCTCGAAAAGCTCAACAAGCCGCTGGTCGTGGTCTGAGGAAACGAGAGACAGTGAAATGTCCAAAGGTTGTTGCTGGGCACGAGAAAGCCAGCGTTGAATGAACGGAACGGCATCGCTATCGTGGGTTGCTATGGTCAAATGGATTGTAGACCAAATTTCGGGCATAGAGAGCGCGATTTCCCTCCAATGATGACAGACAGCGGTCAGAACTAGTGGAGGTAACCGTGTCAGAGGGCCAGTCTCTAGTTCCGCCGTTGTGGGTGCGCAATACAAAAACATCTCCCTAACGAGTTCGATAGGAAGACTGAGGACAGTGGTACGCTCGGAGGTGGTTTCTGTAGAGCTCGGTTGAACCGAAGGGTCGGTTGGGTGCAATAGATTACACACCTGCAGAAGCTACTGACATGGGTTGTAAAAGCTATGAAGTGTGGGAGCTTGCGGGCAGTGGATCATGCCGAGGTTGGAGAGCGCTCGTCAAAAGAAGATGATCGCATCCACCACACAAATTTGCAGCTGCATTTTGGGAAGGCGGACCTACTATGAGATGCTATGGTCAGGAACAGTTATAGCCGCGCAATGGGTAAGACAAACCTCAAAAGCTTTATGTAACCCTAGTATCCCTCCCAGACTGGCTAATAAGCCGTCTCACAGTCCCCCTCTAGCGAGACATATCTGCCTTGAAGAACCAAGAAAGTCATCCTCGGTACTTGATAAAGATGAGCTTAGTTCAGAGCCGAGAAAAAAGTACTTACACGCATCGGTGTCTTGGAAGCGTGCCAGGTCGCACGAGAAATTCTCAACGGGAAGATGGGTATTGCCGTTGTACGAGCGTAGACCCGGACAGACTGGTGTGTAGTCATCGAGAAAGATACGAATGCATGCACCCTTGACTGGATGTGGTCGCCGTGGAGAAGGAATCACGTCAGTTTCATGGGTCGATGGTGGTATGTAGTCAAGATGCACGAATGACAAGGGTACTGGTTCGCCGTCACTACACAACTCTTTCGACTTACTTCGCCAGAGTATTTCGCTCTCAAAACTAAGTACAGATTCAAGTAATTACTAATAATAACAATCAAGTTCTCTTTCACGCGCCATGAGTGCGCGTCCATTTCTGGTCACTCGCATCGCTGCACTCAGAGAGTCGGAGCTGCGAGGGCGCATGATGAGTAAAAACAAAGCCAATGCACAGACAGAGAGAACGCACAAATCTGTCGCTCATGCTGACACACGAGCCAGTGTGGTCCCACTCAAGCTGGCCACTCGGGAGCGAGCGGAAGCGCTGATTACTGGCACCGGTGCACAACTCGAGGCTAAGTATGGGGCCGGAAACGGTGAGGCATTTGTCGCCAAACGTCGAGATCGGGCCGGTAAAGGGGGCGGAAGGAACATTCCACGTGAGGCTTCCGTCGCGGAACGTTTGCTTCGGGTCGGCACCCACGCATTCAGCGACGCTGGCTGGTATATTTGCGTTGTTGACTGAGGCTAACATGCAATAGACTGAGCCGGAGACGAAGAGATAAACGCCCTCGTCAGCTTGGAAGGAGCTACTGGCCCAAGCTTGAGTCGAGGAGCGCCGACCAGAGCAAGTCGAAATCTACAACGGTGTCCACTTCAATGGGCTGTAGTGTGGAGGGCGCTGGGAACTCACAACAAGGGGCGTGCCTTTAGCGACCTGGCCGTCACGGAGGTCAAGGCATTTATTGCCGCTCTTGGCCCAACGGAAGGTGTAGTCCGGGTACGAAGTCCATTGCTGATTCGGGTTGGATTTGGTATTGTCACAAGTGGCGATTTGCACCGCGCTCCCATCCAAATCGGCACCGTCTTTGACCTCGAGACACTGTCATAATTCTCTTCAACCCTATCAAGCTTAGAATATGCAAATTCGCACCATGTCGCCAGCAACCTTGATATACTGTGGGGCTTGCGGATTGGTAGGAGAATCGAAAAATGACACATCCCAGTCATATTGAATCGAGAAGTCGCCCATGTTTCCATTGTTGCAGTTGTTAATGGTGACCGGTACGCCATTCGAGTCGCTTCCGAGTTTGACTGAAACACATCCTTGCATCTTAGCGTCCGCGACTATCAACAGCCATGAGATCCAGAATAAAGAATTGAACCCCAAATACGCACAGCCAGGATTCGCATTGTGGATTTGAGACGCGGCGGATACGGCGACTGCCAGTGACAAGAGATGGACGAGCGTTGGGTAATGCATCGCGAAAAAAGTGACGGAAATACTGGTGAAATGGCCCCGAAGATATATAGCGATGAAAGGTTCCTGAAACACTGTGAAACTGCTTGTGTAAGCGGGCAGGGAACTGCGCCATGCCTTGGTGGAGCAGCGCCGTTAACATTTAGCAATTAGCATTTAACAAGCTCAGGGTACCAGGTAACCAAACAAAGTTCGTCGCGGTCTCGTTCATCCAATGGCCAACCCCACTTCAAGTTGGAATTTTATTCTTGAATTTCGGCGTCTGCCGCCTGCGGAGGCTGGAAATAACGGGTCGAAACGAGATAAAGTCGCGGGATGGCAGGCTTGCACGGGCTTTCATGTCGGTTGGAGCGCAACCTGGAGGGTTAGTCAAAATATCATCATGGTTTCCGTGTCTACGACACAATGTCGACGCTCTTGATAAACTTGATCCCTTTACCTTCCATCTCTGCACGTGCGTTGTCCCAACCTTCTGCCGGATCGACCGCCTTGGTCGCATCCTCAATCAAATAGACCTCGTAGCCTTCCGTGACCGCATCAAGCGCAGTAGCACGAACGCAATAGTCCATAGCAAGGCCAACAACGTACACTTTATCAATGCTATTCTTCTTGAGTTCCGGTCCCAGCTCGCTGATCGAGATCGTCGGGTTTGTGAACGGGTCATAGAATGCGGAATACATTTCGACGCGCTTATCCATGCCCTTCTCGACAATCTTGTCGACCCTCTCTAGGTTCAATTCGGGAGCGAGCTCGGCACCAGGCGTGCCTTGCACGCAATGAACCGGCCAGAGACGTGTTTCGTACTGCTCATCCGGATTTTCCGGGTTGACAACCGTTGCGAAGCTTTCGAAGGGAATATTGTTGGGCGGTGGATGGTTGACAGCGAAGGAGATGTGGTCTATCGGGTGCCAGTCCTTGGTGGCCACTCGAAAATCGAAGAATGAAGAGGCCAGCAGCGTATTAATCACAGGAACGATGTCGCGACCACCAGCCACAGCCAGGCTTCCGTTCTAAAGAGTTGTTATCTGCAAGAATCGAGGGGCACTTATAGACGGTACCGGTGGACAAAAGTCCTCTTGAAGGTCTACGATGATCAGAGCCGATCTGAGAGCCATTGCAACAGGGATGCGAGTCATCGCCCTGCTTAAGGTGTGCAACGTGACGCCGGTAACGCCACCACATGTTATTTCCGACTCGAATTCGGGACCAGGTTCGTTCTCAAAGGGTGTTGCCTAGTTTAATAACTTCCGGTCATCATGACTTTCCCGTTGCCGCGCCCGCGTGCAGCCGGAGGAATTTCAGGAAAAGACAGAAGCAGGGAAAACCTTGCGACTCTGCGAGGATAGGATCAGATTGTGACGATCACGTGCACTGTGACGACGGTGTCCAATCCGCCCATCGAACGACCATTATCCACTCCACTTCAGTACTATTGCGTCGGCTAATGATGCTAGGAAGACCCATTCCGTATCATCGAAGGGAGACTTCAAGCTGGAGGCTCCATACACCTGGCACAAGGAACCTCGCGACTCACACCTTCTTCCATTCACGGTCCTCAATTTGGACCTGGCGTAAATGTGCTCAAATGACGAATCGACGATTATAGTGTGTCCTAAGTGTACTATGCATTTTTCTAACAACCGCAAAGGTCACCATCTAAACACCTCCGGATATCAAACTGACGGCCCGTTCGTTGCGCGGTCTCACCACACAATCGAAAGGTTTGGGATGGCTGATGGCCATAAGTGCTGGATAATTAAATATATTTCACAGAGAACTCACCTGATTGTCCCCTGGGTGTTTTCGTGCTTCGGTAACGGACCGGACGCCCGCTCTATATCGAATGTGGCCAGGATGGCGGCTATACTGCTGAACAACGAAATTTCTGCTAGCTCCCTTCCCGGACATATCCTGCGGCTAAACCCGAAGCAGGCGTGACGGGGATCCCGCTGGGTCGTGCCAACATTCGTGTCTGGGAGATAGCGGGTAGGATCGAAAACCTCGGGAGCAGGGTACACTTGTGGGTCGTTCAACATGTTCCTGCTCTGCATTAGCTGATGTTGGACACAAGTCTGTGGTCGCCTCACCAAATGTTGGCGATAATTATCGAGCCTGGTGAGAAACCAAATTTGAATCAAGTTCTATTGTAATGATGCTGCGAACCTTTGGGAATCCAATAACCATTCAAGATCGTGTCCTCCATGGCAGCGTGCGGGACGCCTGTTTTGAGTGTAAGTGACTGATCCTCTGAAGTAAATGCGACTGGCCCAACGGTGCGATGCTATGCCAGCGAAGCAGCTCAGTGACGACAGCCGAAACATATGGAAGTTGTTCTGCGTCCTCAAACCTTGGTAACCGAGCACCGTTCAGCAAGTCGTCGATTTCCCGCTGCGCTCGGCGCTGAACCTCTAGACAACAAGTCAGATTTGGCGTCCTACTTGAACGCGACGCACCAGGGTATAAAACCATTGCCAGAAAAAACGCATGCAACAACGCAGCGGTTGTGTCGGCGCCACCTTGAGGCACGTTATCTTGGCTCTCCGCGCGAGTTGGGACTAACCTCCGTAAAAAGAGCCTGCGGTATACTTCACGTCGTGAAGTTCTTGGTCATTGAGCTTCTGCTCGTCTTCCAGAAGGCGGGATACAAAAGAGGTAGGTGCAGTTCCAGCCGCCTATAACGTCAGATGAGGTATTTCACAGAAATTCACCTCACGATCTGACGCCGGGTGTAACTGTATGGCGATTCCACCATCTTCTTGGTTTCGATTGCCCATGCCTTGGCCTTTCGTTTGAAGGGCGCCAGAGTTTCTGGAATAAGCAGCAGGGATGGGAATATGTCCACCAGGAATGCACCTGCGTCCATTTGGCCCATTTAGGCTGTCGTTCTACTTCGGGAACAGGAAGAACGGACCGGGAGTGGTAGCGGCACTGAAATTGCCGTTGGCTTTCTCTATTAGCGTGACAAAAGGGTCGTCTTCATCCTGTACTTCTATCCCATAGGTGAGTCGCAAAATTATCGCTCCTGTCAACCTTCTTCCGATTAGCGAAGAACCCGCAGAAAATGGACGGACAGCTCACTTGCGAAGATGCCCATCAATAAATTCGGCGTTTGGCTTGAGCAGGAGGCGTTTTAAAAAACGGTTCGTCTCCAGCTCCACCAATGGAACAAACTGACGCGCACTAACATTCAATCAGTCTCCGATATTAGAACTCAGTTCACGACCTACGCCGCCGGTGTGCCGATAAGCCTCGCGAAATGTTTTCGGAAGACACGAAACTGTGGTCCATACCTAGAACGGATCGGGTTAGTCCGAATAAGCCAGGTAGTTTCACTTACGGCATCAGCACCAGTGTTTGATTATACCCCACAAGTTCGCCAGCCATTGGTAGCCGTGGTCGAGTATTAAACACCGGACCCTTGCCATCAAGTTCTTCCATTGCACTCGCCGAGTTCAGAATAATCATCGGCTGTCCCAAGAAAGTCACCGAACAGAGTCCGCCTACAACCAGCAATCAGTCGCGCGGTTATGTGTTTGACCAAGAAAAGACGCGCCGCACCATATTTTGCCCACTCTGCGAAGGTGAGCCATTCAGTAACAGACGGCATATCCAAGACATTCTAATATAGGTAGTGAATGAAGATACGTTCTCGAAGAGAAGCTGACATAAAAGCACGCACGCCAAGGATAGGAAGACCAGGAGGACCAGGAGGAAGGGAGACGGCGCGTCGTTTCCGAAATCTAAACAACAGTAGCCAAACGGTGAAAGCACCAGCGAGGATAGCAAGCATAGAGACTGTGGTGGCAGGAGGGCAGAGGCGGGAGGCCACGACTCGATGGACGTCGAAATTATAATGTGGGTCTGTGGGAAACGTACATCCGGAACCTGACCGATACCGTGACCACAGTAGGTATCCGATGTACTCTATCCCACTTGAGATGGATCTAAAGAAGTCCTGAATTTGATGGATGCACTCGCACTAAATCGAGCCTACAGACCTACACAACAACAGGTGAACGATGCCGTGACACTCGGAAGCTTTTTTCTCTAAGCGAGAATCCTGTTTATATGAACAGTTCTGAGATTCCCTGACATTGGTTATTTGCAGGGTGTGTCTAATCCTGTCAGGGAAGGCAGTCACCCTGTTGAACGGAGACAATTGCCCTGCAGCTCGCTCCCCACAACATGACCCTGGGACACTCGTCCGCATATTAATACAGCGAGTTCTGCTAAATATCTTTCTCGCATTTTACCCCCAATGTCGGCTGCCACCTTGCAAGTTGGATTTGCGCTCGATAACACGTACCTTGTCATATCCTAGGGAACTACTGGGACTAATCTGAACACATAGCATGGGCTCTATGCTCCTGGGAGTGATTATCAGTGCAGTTTTATACGGAATCAGTTTGCTGCAGTGCCTGTTTTATTTCACCCGCAAGTATTGCCATCAAATCTTGGACTTTTCTGACCGAGCGACAGGCTATATGCGAGATCCAGCATACCTCAAAACACTTGTTCTATGCCTTCTTTTCACAGATCAACCTTTTCTCAACTATACGCAGGTTGCCTCAACTGTTTTTCTTGATACTATTCATCTTGTTTTTGTTGTTCATACAGGTCAGTGAATTTAGCATACAAGTTCTAAGAAAACAATCTGATCAGACCACAAAGTATATCACTATTTGATTTCCAACTATTAGTTTGTGGTCCAATATATGTGAGATGTGAGTCTAACAAATCACAAGTCATCATGAAGCTTTGCAAAAAATGATCTGGTAGGCAATTTACCTATCTTCCCATTGTTCAGTGCCAAGTAAAATCATGTTCTTCACTGGCAGGAGTGTAGCTGTATGTGCTTCACTGATTATACTTGTTTGTTGAACACAAAGGCTATCAGCTGGAAGCAGTACCAACAGTATGCATCTATGTCAGATTTTATCTTCAAGTTGACAGACAAAAAATTTCAGGGAATTACTGCAACATTAGTGCAATGGTATAGTAAATGTTGTGCTTACTTTATAATGCTAAAAAATCATTATAGTTTCTATGCACATCGAATTTGGAAAAGTATATATATCTGCATTTCATATTATTCTGTGTACTGATCAACTTTAGTGAGCCATCACAATATCATTCTTACTGGCCTCATCATAGTCATTATCTTGGCAACATCTGGTGAGTTCTCTGTCATCATTGCATTTAGCATTCTCAAGAATACAGCATGTGGAACTGGTATTTCAAATATGATTCTTGAATTATAGATGACTTAAAATCAAGCATAGCCTGGGTAGTCTTGGCGTCAGTTGTGCTAAGCATGGATCTTGAGCATTCCTGATTGATTGCTATAGCCTTGAAGCAGGAACATATCAACAACTGTTGAATATATCAGTTTGTGACTTGAAATTATATTAACCTTAGTGCTAATAAAGTGATAGCCACTTACCATCTCAATCAATGCTCTTTCTACTTCTACAGATGTTATTATTACCAGCATCCTTTGCTATATGCTCTATGATACCCAACCAGCATCATTAGAGTAAGTATCTATCTCTACTGTTTTATTGATCTTATATCTTGTAGAACAGAGACTATAGTGAATCGCCTGGTAAGCATGATTATCATTTTATTATATTCATTTCAAAACTAAGTAATATTTAGATTCTATTCACAATCAATACAGGATTGTAAGAGACAGTCAAAATTTATCTATTACATTATTAATCAGGTCATATTAGGTTAACCAGGTTTGAGCCCTTTTTTATCACATAATTGTCTTCATATTGAATGATTGCCAGCTTGTGTGCTATTGCATCATTGATATCAGTAAGCCCTGTTTCCAAAAAGGCATAGCAAAAATATTCACCCTAAATTCAGCTTATCATTTCCCCCAATACCCTCATTTATGCATCCTTCTACTTCTGCATTGGACGATGTATGCTTGTCAATATTGGCTTTGTAACTGGTGCTAATGCTACTCACAGTATACTCAAATGCTCTTCTTGCAAGTTTGAATGCTCGAGATATTATTCGTGGTCGTATCAAGGATGTTAACAGCAATTTTCATATCAAAGCCTCTTTCCAAGTGGCAGGATCTATCTCACAAGTACAGGAGAGAAACATTCATTTGTCACAGGATATCTTTGCTCATCCCAACAATACTGATTCAACGGAATTGTCTATTCGGATTGACCGTCAAACACAACTCTATCGTGATAACCAGCTTGGTAGTGAAGGAGAGGGAAAGGTCAGTAATAGTATTATCATAGCCAAGGTATGGACTTTGAACATCTCTTATTCTTTAATTTGATATTATTACCTGTCAGGAATGAATGATATTTATAACCCACATTACTGCTACTGCTTATATCATCTTATATCAATGTTGATTCCTGTTTCTATCCATATATGCAAATGATTGCAAGTGTAAGGGCAACCCTGGAGGCTCTGATGAGAGTCCTAGCAGGGGAGGATCCAAAGCATGAATAAGAGCTACGGAAATGCATAAAGGGACCAATCTAGCATAGCACAGGAGGACCCAAGGAGAAGAAACTCTAAGGGTATCTCGTACCGCACCGTACACCGTACCGTAAGGCCGGCCAGTGCCTCATCCGTAGCACTGTAAGGTCCGCACTTGGTCTGTATCGCCCGTAAAAGGCCCCATACCATATACGGTATGTACGGTGCCGAGCCCTACTTTAGATGTACTCAGATGGTCCAAAGGAGGGCAAAGTGGGGGTTCCCCTGACAGCAAGCTTTTTTTTGAAATAATAAAAAGAACTTATCTGCTGATTCTCTAGTGGAACAGTGGTAGTGATAAGAAAGAGAGAAGGGGAGGGGAAGAAGAAGATAGAGATGGAGATGTAAAAGGTGAAGGTGAATAGTATATTGAACTGTAACAGGAGGGTAGATGTGGTATCTTCAACATGCCCTTTGAAGGCATAGTTGGAGTTATTGAGCTTGGCAAAGGAAATCTGGGAAGAGTTGTCAGTCATCTGAGATGTGAGATGGAGAGTAAGAATTTGAGGATCAATAGTATATCAGTGATAAAACAGTGCCCCAGACAACTAGCAGGCCCAAGTGGTCATTTGGAAGGGTTATACTGTGTGTTTGTATCGGATTTCAAGCTACCAGTTGAGTAGGGAACCTGTTTCAATTTGAAATGTACAACAGGCAACAAATCACATTTTAGCTTAAATACAATACATGTGGCTGTGTAAGAGAACTGTGGTATTATTGCAGACTACTGCACATACAGCGGCCAGTCATTTAGGCAGATGCAGCTTGATTTAAAACATGTACTCTATTGCTTAGATCATCTATTGTATCACTTTTCTCTGTGCAAGAAGGTACCAACAACTCATTGGGCCCCAATGACCCAATTCAACTTAGTGACAGGACTATAAGGGACCATCTTACCAGGCTCATCTGACTTGATACAGACCCTGCCTGCTTCACTTGCAGGCCTAACAAACCATCTATTCTGTTCCAAGCATGTGTTTCTGCAGGGAGCCTTGCATCGCCCGACCTGAAGCCTGACACCTGTGCCATGTCACATGGCAGGTTCCAGAGAGATCTTCAGGTAGGGATGGCAATGTGCTTGATGGAGGTGGTGATATGCTCACCAGAGTTGGAGAGACTCCGAGATGGAGATGTCTCTGGAGGTTGAACAGAGAGGTTCCCCTGACAGGAATGCCAAGGCTTTTCTTAGAAAATCTATGAATTTTCTAGTTGTACAGCCATAAGTGGCTGGTGCAATGTATTGACTTTCACTGTAAAATATCTGAACCTGTTCTCAAATCCTTCTCATCAGCAGATCAATCCCCCTCACATATTTCACAAAACTGAGTATTGATAGAGATTATCAGCAGCTGAAAAAAAAACAGCCTTCAGAAAATTTAAACTAGCCTCTGAATTTCAGAAATATTTTTTCGAGAATGTCAAGGCTTTTCCTTAAAGAATTGTGAGTTTCTAGTTATATAAGTGTAAGCAGCTGGTAAAATCTATGGATTTTTACTGTAAAATATTTGAACCTGTTCTCAAATTTCTCTCATCAGTAGATCAATCTCTCTCAAATATTTTGCAAACCAAGTGCTGATAATCTCTTAATAGACATTATATTAGCAACCACAAAAAATGTTTCAAAATGTTGAACTAGCCTCTGAATTTTAGAATTAATTTTTGAGGATGCCAAAGCTTTTCTTCGAAAAATTATGAGTTTTCTAGCTGTATAGCTGTAACTGGGTGGCAAAACCCATTCATTTTAACTATAATATATTTGAACCTGTTCTTAAATTTGTCTTATCAACAGATCAATCTCCCTTAAATATTTTTAAAACCAAGTGCTGATAATCTCTACTACCTTCATTAAAGTTTTCAAAAACAACCAGTATTCTTCTGATTACTCGGGGTGAGTGAATCTTGACTATGAGAAATTATCATTGATCTGATTCAGAATCAGCAGGAATGTCTGGATATAAAACATTAGACTTGAACCAGTCGCTATCAAATACCGAGTTTGATATAAAACATTACTCAAGAACTTTAAAGGGCATCAAGGATGTTGAATAGAAATAAGGATTCATAGTTCGTGCAGATCGTGGAACCTCGGCCCAGGACCGTAATCTTATCGGGTTGATCCGCCGAGGCGAGGCGTGACACTTTCGCGTGTCACGCGTCTTGCGCGCTCATCGACACTCTCTTCTTACTATTCCCGCCCGTTTGGTTGACGACATCCCTGTCCAGCATTAGCTGTAGGGCCTCCGATTATCGTCGTGAGACACAAGGAGCTGAAAGGACGCACCGGAGTTGTGGGAGGTGTGTTTGCTATCTTGCACCCGCACACCATGGGAATAACGACGGGCAGACAAGCAAAACGCTCACTATGGGCAAGAAACGCCAGTCCAATCGTCCCGCTATTCTACGCAACCCTACTCTTTCCTCGCCAACTAGTCCGCATTCGCCTAGTGCGATATCGGAGACGACGCCAGACCCCGAAGGGCAGGAAGCCCTAACCGCTGCTGCCCTAGCAGCTACAAACGAGCTAATCGCAACCGCGAAAGAGCTCTACATGTCGCTGGGTGGGGACTCGTCAGATGTTGATGTCGCGGACGACAGTGCTGAGGAGGAAGTGAAAGCGTTGCTTGGAGCGGATGCCCCGTATTGGTCTGCGTTACCGAAGAGTGTAAGACAGTTCGTGGGGAGGGTATACAAGTTGAAGGGTGGAGAGGCAGCTGGATTGGCGAGAAGCGTTCGGGAGGCGGCGGCAGCCTTGGTTCCTTGTGAGTCATGTGTAGTTATTCCTCGCAGTAGAAGATTCAAACAAAACGCCCGCTGCAGCTGCTACGCTTGTCGACGGTGCGTTTATTTAGGATATTTTTTTTTCAGTAAAGTGTTTATTTACGTCTATTTTCCAGAGCCGTTGGCATCAGCTGACCAATTCTTTTCTGCGTCGCCCGCCATGGCCCCGCCACCACCGCCCCCGCCGTCAAGTGTCTCGATCGGAAAGAAACCGATGGCGTACCAGCAGGCTCCCGTTCCCCCTGCCACCGCCCCACGAAGTGCTCGAGCCGCTGCGAAAGCACCTGCCAGCTATCAAGAGGCACCACCCAAAGGGAAGGGTCAGCCAGCCAAGCCGGCTGCGGAAAGCAACAACAAGATATGGAGCACCAGCAGCATCGAGGAGCGCGAGCGTATCCGAGATTTTTGGCTTGGGTTGGCCGAAGAAGAAAGGCGGGATCTTGTGCGCGTCGAGAAAGACACGGTGTTGCGGAAAATGAAGGAGGAGCAGAAGCATTCGTGTTCATGCGCTGTTTGTGGTCGAAAACGGTGCGTTCTGTTCTACCACTCTTAAGTTCAAATGGTTTCTTATCGATATATCTCCATCAGAACAGCCATTGAAGATGAGCTCCAAGTTCTGTATGACGCATATTACGAGGACCTTGAGCAATACGCGCTTTACCAACAACAATACCTCTCTTCAAACCGCACCATTCCACCTCCACCTGGTCCTGGCCCATTCCCTGGCAGTGTCGAAGTCGACCGGTATGGCGCTGTCGTTGCCGGAGCTGTCGGCTACCCTCCAGCTCCCGCGCGACGGAAAAAGAAAGGGCGTAGACGGGCACGGAGGGAGCCAGATGATGAACCCGACGTTTACGAGGAAGAAATTGAAGAGCCGGACGAGAGCGATCAAGAAGAAGAGCCCCCGCCACCACCGCCAGCTGTCCCAGTAGCACCACCTGCTGTAAATGGAAGGGGGAGGCCACAACTTGCCGCACGAGGAGGGAGAACAGCGGTTGGTCGTGGAGCAGTCGACATGAAGGGCAAAATCGCGGCTTCTGTGAGTACAGGTGTTGGAGGTGAGCTGGTCTACCCCCCATCCTTGTGGTCGATGCTCTTTCCTTTCTCGCTTGATACCCTCCCTCCCTCTGTTTTTCTGTGTCTCTTCTTCCAATTCCTCTATGTTTGGGCACATTCTTCTTGTGCTCCACTTGGGACTGATTCGATACCGTGCTACGACCTTTACTTTCCCATTCATCCACTGTTTAACTCTTTGTGATATGAAGGCTTATTTCGTCTTTCACTAGGTCCAACCTCGATACTCACAGTTGCCGACGACCTACTTAAGAACGACGGTCGAAAATTCCTGGAAATGATGGAACAACTGGTATGTCGCTCTTTTCCTTCGTCTTCGACAGCGTTATTGATCGATCTTGGGGGCAGGCCGAGCGTCGACTAGCCCGCGAGGAAGAAGCCGCTGGGGGTGTCAGCGGTGATGAAGTGTGTTTTATTCGATTATCTGGTGTCAATTGACTGGTGGACAGGATGATTCAGCGTCGTCGAATTCAATCGACGGCGATGATGGCGTTTCATCTGACGGGGAGGAAGGAGAGAGTGAGAATGAGGATGATGACGGAGAAAGTGAAGGCGAGAGCGCGTTCGTTTTCTCTTGCACTCTTAGTCGGCTGTCACGTGCTGACGATAAATCGACAGAGACGATGACGGCGATAGTTCACACTCAGCGTCTGGGTCTGAGGAGGAAGACGAGACTGTGCTGACAGAGGAGCAGAAGATGGAGGAGGGCAAGCGCATGTTCAGCATTTTCGCCGCAAGGATGTTTGAGCAACGGGTTCTGCAGGCGTATCGGGAACGAGTTGCGCAAGAGCGGCAGGCGCAGTTGTTACGGGAGCTGGCTGACGAAGATGAACTCAAGCGTGAACGCGAGGTCAAAAAGCAGTCGCAAGCCCAGAAAAAGAAGGACAAGAAGCGGTATACTATTTCTCTCTTTCCGTCGGCTTGGTCGTTCATGCCCATTTTTCAGTCAACAGAAGCTTGCGAAGGAGGAGAAGGAGGCGTCGAAGGCTGCTGAAAGGGCTGTTGAAGAGGCGGAGCACAAAGCGAAACAAGCGGCAATGGAGGAAGAACAGCGTAAAAAGAAAGATGAGGAGAAGGCCAAACGGGAGGCAGCGAGAAAACTGCAAGACGAGGAACGACGCAAGAAACTGGCCGAGGAGGCAGAACGGGAACGAAAAAGGAAAGAAAAGGAGGAGAAAATCAAGGCAGAAAAGCGAGAAAAGGATGAAAAGGAAAAGAAAGCCAGGGAGGAGCGCGAGGCAAAAGAAAGAGAGCGCAAGAAGGCAGAGGAAAAGGCCAAAGCGGCTGAGGCCAGTGCTGCTAAAGCCCGTTCTGCTGCTGCTGCTGCCGCCGCGTCTCTGACAACCACTCCAACTCGATCCCCTCATGTGAACGGACAGTCAAAGAAGATCCTCCACAAACCTGTGACTCAATCGCCGGCCGCACCTCCTCCTTCTGTTACTCCTGTTGTTGTTGCACCCGTCCCACCGCGACAAATTGCTCGCCCCATTCACGCTCATTCAATGTCGATGTCGAGTTCTCTTCCCCCAGTTCCTACACCGGTATACGCTCAGCAACAAGTGGTGCCTCCCCCGATCTCTCCTCGAGGTGGTTATGCCCCGCCTCCATTTGGTGGTTTTGCTGCGGGCCCTTCGACAATCCAACCCCGGGTATTTCCTGACGCAGTCGCCGCTAGTTCATTCCATCGACCTCCTATCTCGACCCCAGCACCTATCGGGCCTCCGCGTCGTCCTTCTTTGATTGGAGGTGAACCCGTTCCGATTTCTCCTGGACCAATTGGCAGACCTGCGCCAATTGCCCGTCCAGCCCCAGTCTCAGCTTCGACACAAGACAGTGGGAGTGGTTCTGGCTCTGCTTCTCCCGCTCGCCGATCACCCAGTCCAAAGGGCATCCTCGGGTCTTCAGCATTGCTTGCTGATGACGATGAGGTTGTCGCTGTACCTGTACGTCGACCAGTTGGTGCAGGAGTTGTTGGTAGTGGTGCTGGGGCTGCTGGCTGGGGCGCTCCGGGTTCAGGCTCGGTCGTTGGCCCACCTGGTCGCGCTCCACCCGGTTCTGGGTTTGGTCTTGCCCCGGCATTTACCGGGCCACCCATCGGAGCCGGAAGAGCGGTCGGGCCGGGTGCCGGTTTATGGGGCAACAATGCAGTCAACAACCCTCCTCCTCCTGAATGGCATCCGACGGGCTTCTACCCACGTGCTGGATATCTAGGCAACTCCGCAACGAGTCCAGGCTCCCCTCAGCAGCAACAGTAGCTCCTCACGCACTCATTAGCACGCCCTCGTTTACTTGCCTGTTTTTTTTCCTCTGCCACTGACTGACCTGCGCGGCTTGACGCATCTTGAGTTGGAACTTGAATCTAATTTACAACCAACATTGCCCTGACTGTGGTCCCTTTGAGAGTACTTACCTGTACTTACCTGACGACACTGACCATCCGATCATGTCACGATGCAATTTTGATCCGCGAAGTTGTCAACAGCTTGCTCAACATCTTGCTGTACTTACTTGCAGGCAGCCAGTGGTATACGCAGTCGTTTGATATAACGATGACCAGATGACAAACATTCTATGTCCCCTGATTACACGCCGATGGCAGGCTTGCAGGTGTGCCCAGTCTTTTGTGCTCTTTTTCCTCTCGTTTCCATGTCGGGCCTTTACTTAGGGATAGAACAGAGCCATACGAGGCTTTGACTGGTCTTTTTCACGTGGTAGCGCAACCTGGGACTGGTCATCTTCAAGTTTGTAGAAACCAATTGCTTGATTTGCTCATTTGCGACACGGTCACACGGAGTTCGACCGACTTGCAGTATTCTTTTTGACTGGCGCCGCTGATTTCGTCGAACTCCGCAGCTCCGCAGCAAGCTTCCGACAATAACAAGCCATGCTAGGCACGGCGTTCAATGTTTCCATCGTCCAAGTGGACAACAAAATCGGCGATTAGCGAGGTGTTTTGGCAGCTCGTGAGCTATGTGGTGCTGTAACTCAGCGTTGCCGCTTTTCGGCTGTTCTATCCTCCAACACAAAAAAGCACACGCCCCGCTATTCTTGACGTATCATCGGCGCCAGCCTCAGGCTCGATCTGCGGATTAGTTTCTCGTGGAAGTCTACCCTTTGCGACGAGCCAATATTACCCTATGCACTGTCTCTTGCGGCAAATCTACCCCGTCGTGAAATCTTAAAATCGAAATACTTATCTGCTTACTCTCGTCAACCTTTATACTTCTCCCTGCCCATTTTCTCTCCTATGCCCTCTTGGACGCTTTCTTTATCGCCGGCGAAATGTCTCTCCTTCATTGTGCTCACAGTATCGGCGACGCTTGCTGTTAACCCCTTCGTGCAGTATGCCGTCGACTTTCCGGACCCAGACATCATCGTAGGCAGCGCTGGGAATCTGTCTTCGCGATACAATGGTGCAGCGGCAACCATCGTAGCCTGGGCTGAGGAGATGTCCTCGCATGGACCATGGAGTCAGTGCACTCCTTTAGTATCTTCAATGCGACTGAATATATTGTCACCACAGGCGTTACCTTCAAGCCCGTCCACGCCCCCAGCAACGATGTTCATGACTACATGAGCTGGGCGCCGTAGCAAGTTTTCTCTTCGATGAAACATATGTCCTACGGAGCTGAACATCGTACCAGTATGTGGCCAAATTGTACCGCAGTCGGCAACAAGACTGCCCTGACGGATGAGCAAGGTAGGGCTCCCAAATTTTCGCATGTAACATCTCAAGCTCGACCGTTTAGTGTGGAAGACATGTCCCTACGTCAACCGAGACGGTCAAGTCAACCCCGACCGCGTACTACCCAACGATTTCCAATCCTTCTTCAACCTCTCGGACGCTGTCTTGTACAACTCGATCGCGGCAACATTCCAGCAGGGCAACGGTGCCGCTAGCTCGATCTATTCGCAAAACGCTGGTTCGTCTCAGCTCACCGACAACGGCTTTGCGATATGAACTGAATACTGACGTTGATTTTCAGCCGAGTTTCTCAAGACGTGGTTTCTCAACGAGACAACCGCGATGAATCCCAACCTCAACTACGCACAAATGAACCGAGGGCCGAGCGGCCAGCAAGGAGCCTACACTGGTGTTCTGTGAGTGACAGTCATGGGCGTTTTTCGTTTTGCTGAGGCATTACCCAGAGACCTGCGCGGTTTTGCTAAGATCGCTTCAGGGATCCTTATCCTACGCAAGAGCAAGAACGTTGACTGGACGGCAGACCTAGATTCGCAGATGATTGGTTGGTGCAATAAGTATATGGACTGGCTCAAGACTTCACCGAGTGGAAAGCAAGCCGCGAAGTCGGAGAAGTATGCTGATGCTTTTCGCAAGACTCTATGTAGTACCTGACTTGATTTCCAGCAACCACGGCACAATTTTCGTCAATCAATTTGCTGCGCTGCAGCTCATCGTGAACGATGTTGCCGGCGCAGCAAGTTCTGCGAAGGGATACTTCGACGGACTCTTCCAGGGGCAACTGAAATCGAATGGGGATCAGGTTTTACTCTTATCATGATCACCCGTCACCGCCAGAACTAACATGGCACCAACACAGCCCAAGGAAGCCACCCGCACTCATCCATGGCACTATCGGAACTTCAACATCGCTGCGATGATTGTGCGTATGAGGTCTCAGCAGCCGACCACTGCCATGTACTCAACCACCATTCTCCAGACAAATGCCCGGATCCTCCGATACGCCGACAAGACCTCGCAATCGGGTTGGAATGCCACGACCCAAGGCGCTGTAACCATCCAAACCACACTTGATTTCCTTCTCACCACCAGCCCCGCGGCAAGCGGCGAAGCCGACACTGCCGCGGAGGTCTACCCCAACATTGCCGCTGTGGTAGCGGCCTACGGCGATCCTGCAGGAAGATATGTTGGGTATTTGAAGGCAACGGGCTTTGCCTATGTCGACGAGCCGACGTTTTTGTGGGCCCACACGTTTGCACTGACTGGCGGCGATTCAAGTATACCAGCACAGCCGGCCATGCGTCACGGTGCGAGCGCCGCTGTGTCATGGAAGGCAAATACCGCTTTATCAGTGTGGGTCCTTGCTTTTCCTGGATTGCTGATTGGACTCGGGCTGGGGATCTGACTATTATTAATTGTTGTTATGCGGGCATCGGGAATTAGGCATTGCTCTAAGATTGTTAAAATATGATGTGCGGAAGCCTGGTCGTTACCAAATACTAGTAGTTCTCTGAAAAAGTGGGATAAATGAAAGTTGGAATTCTTCAATCAATTTCAAGTTTCACAGTTGTTTGCATAATATAGATTAGCCCATACTTATCGCACTGAGTGAACGTGAAATAAAATAAATAAATAACGGGGCACCATTTAACTCAACCTGACCTCTAGCCTCTAAACTAGCTATGTAGCTAAGTTTGTTGCCCCCTCCACAAGGATTCATTGCCATCACTGAGGAAACTGCCACCAGGGGCATTTATTCACCATTGCTAGGTACTTAGCTGTGGACTTGTTTTGCTCAGTTTTATCTAATATTATTGCCCACACCAGCGACTTGGACACAGCTCCACCTCCAATATAAGGCCGGATGCAGGATTCACAGGTGCTGGGGCCACAACATATGAGCTACTAGTACTTAAGTTGGGTCCCTTGCAGTGCTACAAATACAGACAAACCCAGAGCCTTTCGAATGACAACAGCAAGAGAAAACTCTCCGGAAAACAGAAAAGGAGAATTATGTACGGTGGTATGTACCATAAAAAGGGTGGAACGTCGCGGTGCTGGGGATACAGATAGGTGGCGCTGGTAGGTGAGGAGAAGGTAACACCAGAAAGGAATCGATAGCAGTATGAACAGAGGAAGGAGAAAAAGATAAGTCGGGCTCTATGCCATCAGTTTGGGTACAACGCGAAGCATTTGGTCGATATTGATGAACTGAACCCAATTTTCCAAGTCGGCGATAGACTCGTGCCAGACGAAAGTGCTTTCCTTGGTGCCGCGAAAGAATGCGCAGACACATTGGTAATGCTCCTCGCGTAACTGGTCTTTCCTGGCTACACCGAGATTTGCTCGGAAGATTCGGAACTCCCAACCGAGTAAAGGATGCCCATCGCCACTAGCAGCCCTCTGAGCAATGTCGAATTCGAGACGGGCCCAGTCGAAACCATCTGGTTGACCGATAGCCTTGATATATGCTGCCTTGAGAGAAAGGAGAATGCACAGTCGACGTAGTGCAACCTCATCCCCAGATTCTAGAGATAATGATGCCAGTTCCTTGGCAGTTAACTGTTGAATGCTTAGAATCACTCGCCGATTCGACCTCGTATTTAGCACATACCTTGTGAGCCATAGATTCAACATAAGCTGGAACAGACACCCCCCGTGGGTCGACGGCGACGATCTTGATGCCAAGTCCTATGTTCACTACGTGGCGTTGGGTGCCCTGGGTCATGGCCATCCCACACAGAGACGCGTCGTAGGCGAGATGGTAGCCAATCATGGATTGCAGAAATTTTTCAGGCGACATCTCATCGGGACTCTGAATCCAGAAGTTTGAGAAAGATAAGGTGGCAAAGGGAGCGCAGAAGCGCACCTGCTCTATCCAATGTTTACCATTCTGAGTCACGCAGTCTCGCCATTTAGCTCGTGGTATTCGTCGATGGCGCATCATGAGCAGCGGCAGCATATGCGTCATCACCTGGCCTGTCAACGCTGAAACTGAGAGCCTTTCGCACTTGAGAAAGGCGCATACGCACGAAAAGAGTCGGCATTTTGAGGATCGTGGGCTATCTGGACATGTGGGACGCATTCAGCGATGATTTTGTAGCAAGCGTCATACTCCTGTGATATCGCGGCGTTAGCATTGTTATGGAAGAAGAAGAACTAGGGTTTGCGCACCTCCAGCGTGTATTCTCGATTCATAGACAACATCCAGACGAGGAGCGGGCAGTCGGCCATGGCTGGAGAAAGCAAGAAACGTTAAGCACAGAGGACAAGACCGAGAAGTATATTGTCACGACCTTGTTGGAAGAATATAAGACCACTGTGGCGGCCTCTTGTTGTGGACGCAGTATATCAAAAGAGAGAGTGTTTAACGCGGCGTCGTTCATCATACAGTCATGAGAGACAAGAAGAGGAATGGTTGGTTTGTTGACAACCAGAAATTGTGTGACCTGCTCGTAATCATTTTCGCCACCCACCCCCATCCAGCCCAAATCGATCCAGCCGTGCCACTCGCATTAAGCGCCTACTATGGCCTACCATCGCCCATAACGATGAGCTGCAGAATCGGGCAAGTTGTCAGCTGTTGCCGTTTCTTGAGGCAACTAAGGACCACCAGAATGGCTTGGACTGTTACTTTGCACAGCCTGTGAGACTTCTCACTAACGCCAATTGCTCCGAAACCACGCTCTCCAGCCAACGGCACCTTCTACTGACCGATATCTCAACTTGAGCTACAAGTCCGGCCCGTGTTCCGACCCCGGCATGACCTACTCTCCTCACTAGAAAACGTGTATTTCGTGAGGCAACACTTGCTAGCCGGCGACAGAGGCCTTCAAAACTTCAGTTCACCCCACATATTCCCATGCCAAACGTTGGCCAAAGCGCCCATTTGGCGGATAATCAACACGAGGCGAAGTCTTCTGGAAACAGAAATCTTCCTTCTTGCGAGTTCCTTTGAGCCTTCCTGCTGTTCGTTGTCTCGACAATCTTCAATTTCTACCCGAAGTCGGTGTTGACTTTCAAGCACAGTCTTTTGTGTCGACGTTGCTTTCACCAACCTGCTTGGTCTCGGGAATATCTTTGATCTCGGTTCCTTTCTTCCTCAAGACAACAATGACCATTTCATACGACAAGTAGAAATACCAGGTAATGAGCCGCGACAACCACCATGACCCCACCATTGAAATCGTCGATAGCCTCCCCCGCTCATTACGACAGCGACAAAGACACTCCTAGCAAGAAGCACGTACGATTTCTAGTCGCACCGGTTGACTTGGATCAAGGCAGGAACGCTCTCAACCCAGACAGTGGCCAAAGGTGTGTATAGTGTTGTTTTTAAAGCTATCGACGAACCACCAGCAGTAGCCATCCTCCTGTTCGCCGCGCATTAACGCCAGACCAAGGGCATAGGACGGCCACTCCTCCTCTCTCAATAGAGTATCATGCATATGCACCACAAACCATACCGCGTGCCGCTCGAGAGAAAGGACTACTCTCGCTACCCAATCCCCTTCTTGTTGAAGGTCAAGGAACTAGTGAAACCGACGATGACGAAGACGAAATTAATGGGAATTTTCTCTCGCGATTGAGCATTCTCGCCGTCGACGGCTTGTCCGAGAGCTCTGATCAGGAAACCAGCCCTTATCTTAATCTCCAACCCATTCCTGAAGAACTTGAACCTGAACGGCCAGTTTCGCCTCCACACCCAGGCCTTCTTACTACACCGCCTACACACCCACTCCCACCTCGACCGCCGTTCCGCATTCCGCACAACTGTGAATTTCGACAGCGGCTTCTTCAAACCACACGAAGCTGGCATGAGGCTCTCCACACTATTGCCAACGCCAATGCACTCCTCGCCAGGCTCCCGACAGTCCAAGAAGCCTCCAACATGCAGGCCGAGATCGCGCGTCTCCGGGCGGAAAACGGGAGACTAACTACGGAAAACATCCAGCTTCAGACATCTACCGACCCCATCCTGATCTCCTATCTTCATCAGCAAACTGCTCATCTGCAAGCGTCAACAAGCCAGCTTTCTGCCGGTGTTGGTGTGTTCATGAACGAGACAGCATCGCTCCTCCACGATCGCGCGAGGCTTATGGCTATGTTGGACCAAGTTTTTCGCTCAACAGACAGCAAATTGGTTAAGGAGGCTGTATCGAGAATTGTCTCGGCCGCTATTGGCGATATAAAAGACGGCGACTTGAGGATCTTGGTCAATGGGCTGCGGACGAGGAAGCCTGATGGGCAGGCAAAAACTAAGAGGCAGCCCTTCCATGATGTTCAGACTAGAGAACTTGTGCAATAGTAATGCTAGTTTTGATTGTACGTCAATATAGTAGTATTCGTGGATGAGGGGATGGTCTGAACTCCAACCGGAACTTACGGCGTGACTTTCGCGTTATCATCATCGGCGCTGGTTTCCGGTAACGTCCAAAGCCGAAATGCAAGTTCAGGCAATTCAAACCCTCTTCCACTGACATCCATGTCTCCGCACGACCCCAGCAAGCAGAATGCTGTCGACATGAACAGAGCACGCGAGGCGACTTCTATTGACGTAGCTTCCGTTCGCGACTTCATCCACGGTACTTTCATCCAACACCTATGAACTCAGTCTTTATGCTATAAAGGCGGCGCAGCACTATGGCGCAGACACCAAAAGACCGTCCAAACCTTGGAGAATGACCCTCTTTTCGACAAGTCTAGAAGGTGAGCGATTTCACTGTAACGATCTCTTCTACACATTCATGAACTGCCCACAGACCCTTCTTAACACGCAAAGAGCAATATATTCGTGGTCAAGCAATGACGCGGCGTCTTTTGGAGCTTCAAGACATCCATCAATGGTCTGCAGAAGACTTATCCGTCGCTTTCGCATATCTGGATGATGGACTGCCCATTGGTGTGCAATCTTGCCTTCCTTGCTTCAGTGTAACTCATTGTCCAAGGTTTACACAACATTGGTACGCCGTTCCCCCTCGTATTTTGTCTCTATTGAAGCAGCAGGCCAGCCTTCGAACCCATCTTTCGTCTTCAAGCCTCGCCAGAACTTTCCGCCAAATATAGTGTGCTTATAGCTAACAAAGGAATCCATGGGTGTTATCTACAGACCGAGCTTGCGCACGGCAGCAATGTCGGGCGGCTCGAAACTACCGCGACATACCTTCCCGACACACGCGAGTTTGACATCCATTCCCCAACTCTGACCAGCACAAAATGGTGGATTGGAGCTTTGGGAAAGACAGCAACGCATGGAGTAGTTCAAGCGAAACTTATTCTACCAGGAGGCAAAGATATGGGTCCTCACTTGTTCTTCGTTCAACTCCGAGACCTTGGTTTGGTCTTCCTTTCGTGTTGTTTCCACAACTGACGCATTTTAGACACGCACAAGGTTCTTCCTGGTCTCACGATTGGAGATATTGGTCCAAAGGCTTTGGGCGGTTTCGCTGCTACCGACAATGGCTTTGCGCGTTTCGACCACGTCAGGATACCCAAGGGGAATATGCTGTCCAAGTTTGCCGGAGTCACGGATAGCGGCGAGTATGTTACTCCCCCGCATGCGAAATTAAGTTATGGCGGGGTACATTGCCTGATATTCGTCTTGTTTCTTTGCTGATTATTTGACCAGATGTTATATATCCGTTCTGGGTGCGTCTTGACGGTACACATTGGGAGATTCCATTAATGATAGCAGAATGGTTACCACAGCAGGATGGGCTATCGGTCGTGCTGTGACCATTGCGGTTCGTTATGCAACAGTCCGACGTCAAGGTGAAATTGGTAGGGACAAACTCGAACGTCAAGTCATAACATATCCCTCTCTCAACGTCCGTCTTGTACCCATTGTCGCTCGAGCATACGTATTCATCGAGCTGGGCCGATTCCTCGTACGCAATCAATTGCTACTCTTTTCTAACTAAAACACACCAGCAACGCGGATTTGACTCTCTTGCCAAGGGCCTGTCCTCTGGGGACATGTCGCAACTTGCAGAAATGCACATGATGACCTCTGGCTTGAAGATTCTGGTGACGACAAGTTCCATTCAAGATATCGAGACAGCACGTCGTTCAATGGGCGGACATGGTTATAGCGGGTTCTCTGGGGTCGGCAAACTATATGCAGACTATCTGCCAGCAGCGACGTTTGTGGTACAATCTAAATTGGCTACATGAGATCTCACCCTTTCGCAGGTATGAAGGTGAAAACTTCGTCTTGGATGGCCAAGTCATTCGAGCAGCGCTTAAATCGTTCCGCAACATCACCGCATCTTCGACTCCCCCTAAATTCTCCCCGACATCAGCCTATCTTCGCCTTCTCGTCGAAAAGGACGTCTTACCACCAGAGCTGTCGCCTGCCTCTTGGAGGAATGTCACCATTCCGATACTCCTACTCGAATGGCGAGCGGCTCTGCTTGTTCACGAGGCTGCTCAAACCATTGGCCAGCCTGACTCAACGCTAACCCACCGTGTCTCCCGTGCGGTCACCGAAGCCTTTGTCGCCGGACAAGTGGGCCAGATGATCGCCGCCCTTGGCAGCACTGCTCTCAAGCCACACGAAGCAGAAGTCGTAAGCAAGATCTACCTTCTGTACCTCCTCACGACCGTCGAATCCGCCCTTGTTGACCTGCTTTCCTACGGCCTCTTCCGCGCTGTTCCATCAGGCAAGTCGCGAGACCCCACGCGAGAGCTGCGTGTCGCAATTGGGGCATTATGCAGCGAGACACTGCTGCCGGAGGTGATCGGCTTGACGGACTCGTTTGGGTTCTCGGACTGGGAGCTAGATAGTGCGTTGGGTGTGTTTGACGGGCGAGCGTACGAGGCGATGTGGAAACGGGCACAGGATGAACCGTTGAATCAGACTGAGGTCACTGAAGCCTATGCCGTTTGTCATTCTTTGAGGGAAATAAACAAAAACTGACTGAGTTTAGGAGTCGATTAAACCCATTCTGCTTCGTGGACAGAGGTTGGCCTCGAAATCGAAGCTTTGAGTTTGTCTTTCTGTGTGTTTGGATCTACGTCTACTTGTTACTATACCTTGTGTTGAAATGGATGGGCCTTCTTTGAGCACCGCAGGGATGTATCCCCGACTTGACCGCCACTCCACAGCAGCCACCAGCGAGACGAAGATCCTGAGTGGCCCTTGAGTTCAAGTTTGAACATAACAGCCGACCACAACCAACCCCTGCCCAAACAACGTGTAGGCGTGCCATATAATTTATGGTCTCCAAACCTATGACCAGGGAGGGAGACACCTCTGCTCCCTTGCTTTCGCAAGCGCTCGCCGTTACCGCCCCTACGCCTACGAGCACTACATTAATCCTGTCGCTTGCGATCTCTGAGACATGCTATTAGAGAAAGTGGTGTCGGCAAAGTAAGTAAAGTCGCCGCTCTCTCCGTAAGGACGACAGTTCTGACGCACCCTCTGGGTTATTATTAATACCAGGTGAAAACGGGAAAGTGCCAACTGCATACTATATGAGTGTTTTGTTTGGTTGGTGTTGATTGATGCGTTCAATAGCTTCTGCCAGTGGTGCTTGGAGTCAAAGAATGCGGTTGCAAGTAAGTATCTGTAAGATTTGCGTCTTATTCTGAAATAAAATGCTACGATTCCCCTACGAAGTAGACACTACTCGAAGTTGAATCACATTATGCATTTTCATGAATCTACGCTCAGGCTGCCTCGGTTAAATTGACCATCGTTTGCAGGATGCCCACAAGGTTCATCTGATTCGCAAACGGCGACCTCTGCAAAATCCTCGATCTGCTTTTTCACCTCCGATGCCTTGTCTTTATACTCGCACCATGCTTGACCACTGTAACAACACGGCACGCGGCGCACGCCATCATCTCCCTTTTATTGGCATTGAGTGGCAATCCAGACTACCTGCGGGGTACTTACAAGCATGGCCTTACTCTCTCGATATTTTCTGGCGATCGTCAGAGTTGACGTCCAAGAGCGAGATACAATACGATTGGCGGCTAACGGGGCCCCGGGGTGGGGGCAGACAGCCCGGACTGCCTTCGAGCAGGACATGAACGTGAGCCTCGACAGTTGCGTCAGCTTCGTGGACAAAGCAGCATCTGAGCGACCTATAGGGCAATTACGAACGGAAAAACGCCAACGGGGTTCCATTGTATCCTACGCTCTCGCTCCGTGTTCGAGCAACAACTTGACCAAGTTGACCTGTGGCAGAGGCTCGGTGGAGCGCAGTTTCTGCCGTGCCGTCTGAGCCAAAAAGAGCATCTATTGGGGCGACAAGGTCAAGCAGCATCCGTCATCTCGTAGTGTTTCTCTATTTACTGCCAAGCGCAAGACAGCGGTGATGGACGTTGCAACGACGAATGGCCCAGATAACAAGCTCTTGCGCGCGAACGCAGGAGTAATCCGTCTTTCTAGTTCCGAGTTCAAGATGTCGTACAATTGTTTACAGGACTTGACTATGGCGTTCAGAGGGTTTTCAGCAACGGACAACACAAGTTCCGGTGGAATGGTAGAAATAGAGGACATGGCAGTTAGAAGGGAGGCAGCGAGGCTGTTTCATGGAGTTGCTAGCATTGGAGCGTGCGAGTTCTTGCCCGTCTAACGCTGAGACTGCTGTAGTCTTCGAGTTATGAGTCGCCATGACAGGCGTCAACGTTGCCGCGCTTTTTTGACGACCAAAAAAAGTAGAGCAAGACCGAAAGAAGAGTACCGGTAGTGAAATATCTGACACATATATCGGAAGCACCAAGCACCTGTAAACCCAACCGTTATTACCCAAGAGCTGTCGACATCTACAGGCTATAACAAGGAGTCCAGAGTCGATGGGTAATATCATGATGGAGGTGATCTGAGATCTGCCAAACGGAAAGGAGACCCGCCGAAGCCGTCTTGATGATGGGAGGCGGCTTGCTAGTTTGATCTTGTTTATCTGTAGCCTCCAGTGTCACACTGATGCGCTGATGTACTTGGCATCGGCGCGCTTGTGAATTTAAAGACTGCACTGCCCGACCTCTTGTTTTGCGCTGCAGGACTGGTGCACGCAGCCTGGGCCACAAGCAAGCTGCTTGAATGCTATTGTACCACATGTGACGGTAAAGTCTTGAACCTCTCGCCTATTTTAGCGTCGTTGCTGCCAACCATCACAACCTATCACAACTGAAACTGGAGGTCAATACCCCCCATCGGATGGCTTTAGCTATGATGATATGGGTCGCGAGTGGTAGTCGTGCCAGACAAGACGTCAAACACGTTACATGCGACGGCCTTGGCACCGGCGGCTGGTCAGCACTCGCTGGGTTTACGAGAGCATGCACGCAGCTGTCGCGCCTGTGTGACACGGCAGCTTCTCGGCTGGGTTGATACAGTCAACGATGGAGCCGAAACTGCCGCAGGCAACGTTTACGTCAGAAGTCTTGCCGACATCATGATATTACCCATCTACTTGTTACTCTATAACAAGGAGAGAGTCGTTTGTGTGATAGACGGTTGTTCCGCTGCAGAAGATCGCGCTAATAATACGGAGATTTGGAGCCGGTTTCTGTAGGGCACCTGGTCCGAAGAAGATGGTCCAATGTTTAGTCCAACCGGACCCGGTTCAGCCTGAGATGCGGTGACCAGAATTGTCACACGCGCATGACCTTATCACGTGGGAGATCCACTGAATCGGTTTTCGGCACGATCGGCTCCCACCTCCTCCGTCAAGACCACTCAGACGACCAACGCGTAATGGACGGCGAAGGCGAAGCAGTGTACATCTCCCCGCAGTCTATACCGACACACTATACTCGGGATCGCAGCCAACTGTGGGTCCTGTCCTCAGTTGGGGTTTTCGCTTTTTTTTTGGATGATGACCCAGTCCCATGGGCCTGGGTTAATCTCCTAGACTCTCCTTCTCTCCAGTTCTCCCTTCTCGCCTCCGCGCAGAGCTCTGCATCAGACGCTGACAATGGCGCACAGACAATATGAGCTGACAGTCCGACAAGAGCCTAAGCAGGCCAGGATGTGCGGTATTGGGGGCAAAGGTGAGTATCATTCGTCTTGGCTTTTCTCTTTATTTACTTACTCAACCCAATCCAGCGGACCGTCGTCCTATCGACCCACCTGTTATCGTACAGCTACGAGTCATCGACCCGTCAGCACCCCCTACTACGGAAACGGACGACAAGGACTCAAGCGATGACGAGCCTCCATACGGAAATTTGGCTGGTTATGCCCAGAGCTTTCTCCAAAACCCATATTACTTCATGTTCGCCAGTCTCGCTAAGCCGGACGACGATACAGAACTCCATTGGCTCAAAGATGGACGGACACGATGCACAACAGGCAGTGTTGTGAGCTCGTTATATGCCTTGAAAGACCCGACCGCAGCGCCGGCTTCCATATCAAAAGACAGTCCAACTACGGGTAAGCAAATGCGCATCCCTCGAGTGACTGGCTTCTAATAGTCCCAAAGCGCTACCCTCCTCTGACGCTGGCTTCTTTGTGTTCCCTGACCTCTCTGTTCGCACAGAGGGTTCCTATCGTCTCAAATTAAGTCTTTACGAAGTGGTTGGGTAAGTCTTGCTCGACCACGCTCCACATGTTCTAATTGCCCATTAGCAACGACGTCCGCCACTGTAAATCCATCTACAGCGCGCCGTTTTACGTCTACACGGCCAAAAAGGTTTCCAGGGGTGGAAGAATCGTCGCCCTTAACATGTTCTCTCGCCGACCAGGGAATCAAAATTCGCATCCGGAAGGATATTCGCATGCGAAAAGCCAGGGGAACAGCGCCACCCGCGCCGCCAAGTGCTATAGTTCCTGCAGCCTCTACTTCAAGCAGCACTAATATGCCGGCTGTAGGGCTAGACCTAGCTGAAGATGACAAGGTTTGCGACTGGCTTTTCCTTGTCATATCGCTGTTTGACGAGTCGGGATTTTAGCCGCAGCAAAACCGTCCGGCTAAGCGGAGCCGCATAGATGACGGCAGTGGTAGCAACAATACTGGCGGGGCTCCGCCCGTTGGAACCCCTTGGCCATCGACTCCTTTGGTTCCACCACCTCCGGGAGCCGAAATTCAAGGGCAACCCACGGGTCCACCAGCTGTCATTCCTCCTCCGCCACCACCGATGTCGGCGGGCCCGCCACCGGTGCAACAAACAGATTTATATGACAATCGATTTGCTGCTTATGATCAAAGCCCTGTTGCTCACATGACGGCTGGACCTAGTGCACCTCCTCAGCCCCAAGTAATGCATCCGCCACCTCCCCCTCCCCATGCTTATGCTCAATACCCACATCCGTATTATTACCCCCCGCCACCCCACTCCTGGGGCCCAGCTTATCCAGACCCATATCATCAACAATATGGTGCTCCGCCACCCATGCGCTACGATTATAGTCACGGATATGCACCCCACCCTCCCCCAATGCCACCTCATTATCAATATTATGAACCCCAGCCGCAGCCTAGCTATCCAGCTGGTGAGTATGCGGCAGCAGGGACGGGAACGCCTCCAATTCCCGTGCCAAGCAATGCTCCACCGCCTCCAGCAAGTGCAAGTCCTGGTCCTGTTGTCCCAAGTAATGCCCCTCCGCCTCCTGGTCCGGGTATGGTCATGCGACCACATATGGGACAACCTCAGTATTATAGACCAACTGGCTATCCGGTTCAGCCCCCGCCAATGTCGATGCCGCCTTACTATTACCCGCCAGCGCAGGCTCAACCCCAACCTCAACCCCAGCCCCAACCTCAACCTGATCATCACACACCCGGGCCTGCTCACTCATGGGGCACTCCTGCGAATCCGTATTCAGTCAACATACCGCCTGCCCCAGTTTGGAACCAGCCGCAAGGCCAGGAGTGGCACGGGCAGGCGCCAACGCCATCCCACCAGCAACCCGGCACACGCGTCGAATTACCGCCGTTACGCACACAGCCAAGCTCGGGAGAAGGGCCAGGCTCGGCTGCCAAAAGCCCTCCGATGATCCAGATTGGAGCACGCGGGAAGGAGTCGGCCTCTAATGGGAAAAAGGCTGCGCTCAGCATTGGCAGCATCATCTCAGACGAATCCTAGTGGCTGCTCCTCCTTGTCCATGTTCTTCTCTTGCTATCTCCTGCTATCCTTCGTTTGTACATTTTCTTCTCTTAACACTGGCCCAATGTAATACCATCGCTCCCGCATTTTCGTCGCCATTTGTTGTCGGTATATTGTTTGTCTACTTGCATCTCCAATGTACTTGTACCTACGACTTATCTGCACGTACCATAGATGTCCCGGCCTCGGTTCCGCCTGTCCTCTCACGCATGCCCTTCGAAAGTCCATGTCAAGTTGGAATGTCCAGTCCAGCTTCATGGATTTCAGTGATCCGAAATAGCACTCAGAGGAATCTCGCACCAGAACCACGGACAGGGCATCCTTCACATTGACTAGTACTTCCGCTGTTATTGGGACTTGGGCGTTTACCAAGGCGTCTACTACCAATCTACTACTAATATATCGATGTCTTGTCAGCCTGAGTATATTTTATTAGCAGGTTTAGAAAAATACAGCCGGACGGATTCCTCGATCATGAAGCGAAATTTTAGACTGACCTTTTGGGTCAATATGTCCATTTCTCACTCAAATAATGGCATTTTCGCGTAGACTACTACAATGGTGTGGCTCAATGAAAAAAAAAAGCAAACTTTATATGAAGCAAACTAAGTATTCTGCAAACGGCTGTAACAGTGTATATGTAAATCGTTAGTTGGATCAAGAAGGCTGTAAGCATAAGTATCTGCTGTGAGACTATATCGGTATCATTGTCCAGCTTGAGCACCAGCATCTAGAATACATCTTTGCCAGACCTCTTCCCATATTTCTTGCATTCCTCTGGCCTCTGTTGCATCCCAACGAGGTCTGACATCATACCCAAACTCCAAGCTGGCAAGACGGGGGCACAGCGCTAAAATGAAGTCAGCGACTTCGGATGCTGACTCGATGTAGGAATTGCTGAAACTCAGATATCGGAGGTTTTCTCGCGACACTAGGCTGTTTGCATCAAATGGAGGGACACGCGTCGCATCGAGCTCCATCTGGACGGATTCAAGCGCTGGGCAGTGCGTCGTAAACGCGAGGAGGGCATCGAGGGTTGTTGACGGTCGGCTGGGAACATGCAGGGCCGCTTCAGGGTCCAGGCTTGCCGCCAGCAGCGCGATTTTCGTCAGGCGCGGCCATGACTGTGCAAAACGCCAGATGTCCTCATCAATGAGAACAAACCCAAGCGGCATTTCAAGTGTCAGTTCGCGCAGGTGGGTGAAAAATAATAGTGGAGAGAGCGTGGGTCCAGAGATCGTGTATTCGTCAGCGCCGCGCAGGCCCTGGCCCGGCCGAAAAGTCCCTTCAATCTCGTCGGTGCTGCTACATATCGACAGTGTTTGGAGCATGGTATGGGAGACAATGGAAGCGAGCGTTGCACAGATCTGCTGGGCTGTTGTGTTGGTTAACGTTCCCCAGGTCTCCAGTCGGCATTCCTCTATCGGCCGGTTCTGGGATATATTAGCGAGGACGGAGACCATTGCCCCCTCCCCAGTCCGAGATGTGCAAACTGCGAAGAGATCGGAACGACCACTGGTGAGGTATTGGGGCTGGACTAGCCATTATGCGACAGTCGGTCAATGACATGTCTTGGAGACACGGCAGAGCAGCAAGGATGGTTAAATTTGGATCGAAACGATTCAACACAATCTTTCGTAGTCGATTGAGTCGAGGAAAGACCACGGAAGAGATTGTCGAAACTGGGCCAGGGAAATAAGACTGTTGGAAGTGCGAAAGGTCCTCTAGTGATAGCTCTTCCAGCTGGGCAAAAGGGATGTGAAGACTAGGCAAATCGTAGAAGAGCTCAATCTTATCTGACGACAATGCCAAGGTCGAGAGTTGGGGAGCGACAAAAATGCCCAAGGAGAAGAATTCGGGTATACGACGAAATTGAATGGAGCAGTGGAGGGCTCTGAGGTTGGGCATCAATTCCCCAGAAGCAAAGCGTTCCCCGAAGGCGCGAAAGACCGACGAGTCGGGAAATGTAATGCGGCCACGATCTACATGTCCCAGAAAGAGGCATTTCACACGACGAGAATAATGGAGAACTCGGCCCCAGCCTTCTTCTGGGATGGATGTTGTACTCCGTAATTGAAGATACTACAACGTAGTTTAGACTCGGAGATGAGAAGAATAGAGTTCCTGACTGACTGTGCGAGCGTCATAGGGTAACCATTGTCGACGGGGATATTCCACCTGCTCCCAGCATCCATCTGGAAGGCATTGAACAAGATAGTCCAATGTCTTCAGTGTAGACCAGAGTCTATCCAACGCGGGGTCTTCGAAGGCCCTGCAGCACCTGGCCAGTCGCGCAAGGGTTTGGCTGCAAGAGTCTTGGTCAGAATCCAGCTTGATTTGCAGAACAACGTGGTCAACAATCTCTGTGATGCTGAAGAGGGGGTGCATGTGGGGTCAACTGAAAGTTCGGTATAGACGGCAAGGTGGTTTAAGTTGTTTAAGTCGGAAGAAGCGAGTTGCCAACGGCAGAGAATCAGCCCTCGGCGCCGACAGATGGTCGTGATCGCATGGGTTGACGACCGTCACCGGTGTGATAAACGATACCAGTGGAAGATAGCCAAGTGACGAAGATGAGTGTGGCACTGGGACTAGTAATGCTTGGTCCCGGTCTAGAGAGAATAGCACTGAACTGTTGAATAATCCTCAGCGGTTTTGTGCAGGTCTTCAGAGTTGGGCAGCCGATACAAAATCGATAGGCTGATAGATAGGCCATGATCATGAGCGCTTCAGATAAGTAGATATTGGCAAAGCTGAGTTGTGAAGTTGTGTGGCTTTCTCAAGTCATCATGATTCCTCGAACAATGGGCTTTCATCCAATCAGCATACTTATTTAGAGCAGTAGTCAGTGGTGACGTACAGTGAGCGACATATACAGACCGCCGATGCTGGCCATCAACAAGGTCAACGACCAGTCAACTCGTGTATTTTAGCCGAAGTATTAACCAGCGCTTGGCGATGAGACAAATATCTAGCGAGAGCAGTGTCAGTGGGTAGAGTCATTCGAAAAGCGTAAAGGGCCAAACGACTGGGAGAACAACTATGGAAAGAGTCGAAAAACGAATTCCCCTTCCAACGGCACAGAAAAATCCGCCACCGCCTTGAGGAATCAGCGGGAAAGGCCATTTATTTGCAGGCCATGGCTTGTGTCAAGTGTTGGGCAAGCCTTTGCTGACGCTCAAGTTGGTCAACCGTGAAAGTGGAGAATGAGCACGTGATTGTCAGCTAAAGGATAATTGTCATTCATTCATGGATTCAGTAACTCGTGTATCTCCAGCATGATATGAGGGTAGACGTCTAAAGTCTAGGTTCTCCCTCGTCATAAGTCCTACACCATACCCTTCAGAGACAGGTGGAAGGTGCCAAAGCAGTCCAAGAACCGACTTGGATGTGCTCGTCCTTCTTTCCGCTTGGTCCCGCTCCCGCTCTCTTATTTCTGCCTTTTCACGTATTTTCTCCCTCCTTTGAGCCCTTTGCAGCTCACGTTCAATTTGCCGTTCGAGTCGTAGGCGGCTTGCAGAAGGCGGGGGAACTGGTGGTGCGGCGGGTTGTCGTCGTCGTCTGCGATGAGGAGAAGCAATCTCAACAGGAGCTGGTCGTAGTGGGAAGGTTGAAACGGCTGGCTGGATGCGTGAATGACCTAGTTTGGTGTCTACGGGATATGATTTGGCTTCTAAGGGAAATGGTCTGCTAATCACTAGATATTTTGCCGTTAGCATTGAGTTGTGGGGGGAGAAGATGCATATACCATCGGGTGAGATGGAGGTGTGACTTTTGATTTTCCGTTGTTTGTAGTAAACCCAGCAGATTGAACAGATTAGGATAAGCGCGAAAGCACCAAAAACAACGCCTAGAATGAGGGGCAATTTGGGTGTTGCGCTTTCCCGTCGACGAGTTAGTTTCCGGGATACTTGAGGAGACAAAGAAAATTAAGCCGATAATGACTGGTGGAGGTTGTGGCATACCCAGAGACAAGAGTTTCCGTGGACTCGGCTCGAGGAAGCCTGCTCGGAGCCAATCAGATGTAATTCCATCCGGTGAGCCAGATAGTGGGAGGAGAGGCATGTATATGGTCAGGGAGACCGGTCGGCTTCATGCTCTTATAACTTCGATATTGCCGCATCAAGGCTCGGGAAGAGACCAACATGCTGTGACCTTGAGTCGTCACAACAACCCGTTCTTGCTCCGGACCGCATTCAACAACCATTGAACAAATCTGTTGCGTTGTAACAGCCCGGCGGAGGTCTGCAGCTCTTCCATGCGATCTTTCTTGTAGCGCCGCCCCATCTTTCTGACACAGTGTCCCGACTTAAAGCGTCTCATGGGATGGGTCTGATTATGGCCTCTATCATCTCGGGAATAGCTCTCATTCACACTCCACTGCAGTGCCACCCAGAGAGCACACTTTGTAGGCGCTGGCTGTTGTGAGGCGATAACTCAAGAGTGCTAGTCTGATGGTCAAGTTGCCTCATAGGCGGTAAGGTTATGAACCCATAAAGCACCAACTTGACCTCTCAGTGCCCATCCCTAACACTGCTCGGTCTCCCGATCAAGCATGGCGTTCCTCTTCCTCACTCTCCATATCCTCCTCATTTCAACGCTCTGCACCGGCGTATCGTTTACATTTTACTATGGTGCGGATTGTAATGGGCCCGAAGTCGCATCGAGCAGCGGTGGCCAATCGGGGGAATGCCTCTACTTGTCCAGTAGTGGCTCTGCCAAGTCGATTGGCTTCTCAGGTGCCTTAAACGAACTCCAATTTTTTACGTCTGGTGGGCAGAATGACATTTGCACCAATAGTCCATTCACAACGCATGCTGGAGGTGATGGGTGCGTGAACGGTCCAGCTGGGTGCGTTTTTTAGAGCCGCGGAAGATGATCAGCGAGAACTCACTGAACTGCAGATTCAACTTGGAAAGTGTCTTGTTAAAATGATTCACTCTCGTGCAACACTGGTTTATTTGTGATGATACATCTTATTCTCATGCTTGCTTGGGCATTGGTGTTCTCTTCATCGTATACGCATAGCCATCCATGGCATTCTTGAGACATGCCTTCCAGATTCGGGGATTGCTCATTACTGGCGGCTGCGTGGCATTTTGAGAACATTACCGACCTTATGTAAAACAAGATAACTTACCAGCACCGAAACAGAGCGTTTTACTGAAATCCAAAGCCCCATTGGCGATATTCCCGGGCAACTAGTCTATTCAGTCTGTCAGTTTCGATGAGCAATGATGGCAGCGAAGAGCAACACACTTCCTTGACAGCTTGTGCAACTGTTTTACTTTTCTCCTTCTTGCTGAGCTCGACGGCGACGATCAGCGCAGCGCCTAAAGCACCACCTTTTCGTATCATTTCTTCATCATGTGTCTTGAGCACAGCGAGGGGTGACCAGGGGGTTTCAGTCGTGGACCCGTCCTCGTTAGCGGTCATTGTGGCCACATTGTCAAACTTCTCTTCTAGGAGGGACAGCGGGAGCACCGCGGCGTCCACAAATGAGTACCACGCTCTTGGATTTGTAGCCTCGTGATTTCGAGTGAGTGTCATGGCAAAAAAGTGCGTTTTTGCACGGCCAATGTCTCGCACGAGATCCATCGCATGCCAAATCACAACGTTGTAAGTGTCGCTGCCAGAGGAAAGGTTATGCATATAATGCTTGGTATGGTCGCATACTTGTGCTCAGTGGCCGTGGCGGTCAGATCGCGGATGATCTCCGCCCTGCACACTTGTTCAGTCGACTTGCGAATGATATGATACAAACTCGGCTTTACCGATTCCGAAGATGCTCTCGGCCATTCTTCAAGTGACCCTTCTGGCCTAAGACGGTCGATGTGGCATCCGCCGCATTTTGACTGACGAAGACCATGCTTTGTTTCTTTCAGCATTCCGCATCGCTGCAGCTGCAGCTGGCACTATGCAGACTTCAGGTCAAAGAACAAACACACCAAGATTTCTTGTGGTCTTTCCAATCGGCCGTCTGGCTTGAATGATATCATCATCGTGCGACCAGAGAGCAAGGAGGGGAACGAACCAGTCTCGAGAGCAATACGGGACAGTGCGGCAGCGACTGCATCGCTGAAAGGCTTCGCCTGGTTTCTTGCAGCGGAAACACTCGTCTTTGGGCGGCCTGGGCAGCCAATTTGCATCGTCGAGTTCCGCGAGAGACATAGTGACAGTGGTGAGAGTGTTCATTCCAATCACTTGAATCAGACTGATTGATTATTTGCCAAGTGACCACGTGAGCGTGACGCGACGCGTATGCGATAAGATAAGATAAATGATAAATACAAGTAAGCTATGACTCCCTGTTGAACGCTGAACTCGGATGTCGAAAGCAAAATCATAAGACGATTGCTCCTAGAACCAACGCGGACAACATCCAAATGCTGCCACTCCTCACCGACATGGCCGCGCCTCTCTGAGCCCAGAGAACCGCCGGCTCATTAGCATAGGCCCCACCGAACCCCTTCTGGTCCACATAATTAGCGTATTTGCGGTGCCCATCGCCATATACCACAGCTACGGCCGCCAGGTTAGGATACACTTCAGCCAGTATGTCAGTTTCCCCACTCGCGCCGGGATCGGTGGAGATAAGGAAGTCAAGTGTGGTGCGAATGGTTGCGCCGTGGTCTGCCTTTGCATTCCAGCCGAAATGCTTAGACTTGGGATCAGCATATTGGAGGATTCTGGCGTTGGTCTGGGAAACGTCAACAGGCGTCTGCTATCAAGTTAGCACACGTACAACCATGCCTGCAATGTTGAAATTACGATAGTGCCAGGGATGGGTCCGTGATGCTTCTAATGGCTGTGCAATGGTCAGAATGCAATTTGTTCAGGTTAGGCTCAGGCCAACCTGATCTCCATTTGACTCTAACTGGCCTTTGTAGATTCCAGTAAAATACCCTTTCGTCGAGTTGACGGCACCAGCAACATCGTTCACAATCAGTTGAAGCGCAGCGAACTGGTTGACGAATATCGTTCCATGATTGCTGAGAATAAGTTAGAAATAATGTCCACCCTAACCCCGATAAACAACGAACTTGGCTGCACTCGCCGCTCGCTGCCCACTGTCGGAGCTTCGAAGCCAGTCGATGTACTTCTGACACCACGCAATCAGCTTGGAATCGATGTCTCTTGTCCAATCGGGATTCTTGCTCTTTCGCAGGATGAGAATCCCAGAGGCAATTTTGGCGAAGCCCCGCAGATCGCTGGATATGGTGTCGGCACATGTATCATTCGGGTCAACTCGATAGGCTTACAGTACGCCAGTGTAAGTGCCTTGCTGACCCTTTGGTCCGCGCTGCATCTGCGCATAAGTGAGACTGGGGTTCATCGCTGTCGTATCGTTGAGAAACCAGGTGGTGATGAATTTTACTGAGTATTTTATTAGCGTTCGTTGCATGCGAAGGGAAAAAAAAAGGAGTTACGGACCAACATTTCTGGAGTAAACTGAGCTCGCGGCACCATTGCCCTCTTGGAAGACCGCGGCGATAGAGTTGTATAGAACCGCGTCTGAGAGGTTGAAGAATGATTGAAAGTCGTTGGGTAAGACGCGGTCGGGATTAACTTCACCGTCTCTGTTGACATACGGGCATGTTTTCCAGACTGCATCCAACATTGAGCCCATTTGAGTTCAAGTGGAATGGATGTCACTTACCTTCTTCATTTGTGAGCGCAGTTTTGTTCCCGACGGAGCTGCAGTCGGGCCACCTGCTGGCAAAGTCGATCATGAGTTCGCGGTTACGCTAGCGCAAGAAACACACTAAGGTGCCCAGGACATATAATCGTGAGGATCGTTGCTCGGAGCTCGTACAGGTTTACGAGTAACACCTTTGAAGATAAGCACACGAAACTTTGTCAGGAACGATGCGTACTCCAAGGCCCATACGATGCCATCTGCTCCGCCCAAGCAATAATACTCGTTGCTGCTCCATTGTATTGCGAGTAAAGGTTGCCAGCATTGGCGACGATGAAATCTGGGTCTGGGAAGTCTACTGCGTATTGAACGAAGGGATTGATAGCGAAAGTTGACGTTGCGAGAAAGCTCAGAAGGCCACAGAACGGCCAAAAGCCGTGCGCCCAGCAAGAGAGCATAAAGTAGAACAAGGAGGGAAGAGAGAAAGAGAGAAAACTAGGGCAGAGCGCCAATAAAGAATTGCAAACATCATCGAAGCCGCAGTCATGGGCGATGTGACATGTCATCAATCGTCCAATGTTTGAGGTTTGAGCTCAGATCGGCGCGATACGTAGTGTCTTCAAGTTCCTTGGATTCTTCCGCAAATTAGAGTGGGCGGGAAATCCTAGAGGAGGCAGCCTAGGCCGGAAGACGTTGCGGAGGAGTTCGACTGCTAAGTGCTCAGCTTGAGGTTATCGTATGCAGGTATAAGTGTGCATTCAATAACAGTGATTCTGGTTTCCATGCTGCGTATCAATCCAGTCCATGTATCGGCTAATCTCAATAGATATGTGAGCCCACGGAATGACACGGTGAGAACTTGAACGCGGACCGACACTGTAGTGGACTTTACTTACAGTAGCTCTTACAGTTGATTTCATGCTTTGGTTCTTTGCAAAGCTTGGATTGTTGGGTCTTGGCAAAGCCAACGTTAATTCTGGAAGGCGATAACTGAATCGCTTGGCCCGGTATATGACCAAGGGTCTACTTTGGGTCTACTTGTTTTGTTCTGTCAAAAGGTGAATCTGGAGTCGACAACCAAGATAGTAGCGATTGGCCGCAATAGGGTCGAGATGCAACGAGTGGGTTTTCCCCGTGCATTCAAGTGGGGAAGCTTTTGTTCAAGTTGCGGAGTTACTGTGACCAACTCTTTCACTTGCAGCGAGCATGATCAAGCCGTGTTCCCTATTACTTCGCTCGTGCCCCGCAAAAGCCGTCCATAAAAAGCGAATGGTCCCATTGGCCATCCGAGTCCCCGGTTTATCGCAACCCGTGCCGGAATCGATTTTCACATCGCTTCGATGGCGGCCCCCCATATCCTCGACGTCGACTTTGCTCGCTCGCAGTTTCCAGCACTCAAAGCTGGCTTCATCTTCGCCGACAACGCCGGCGGCAGCCAAGTTACCCAGTCCGCCATCGATCTCATCGTCGACTATCTCACCAACACCAATGCCCAACTGGGAGCCGACTACAGCGTCTCGGCTGTGAGCACGAAGCGGGTGGAGAGCGCGGCAGAGGAAGCGAGGACGCTGTTCAATGCCGAGAGCAACAGCGAAATTGCCTTTGGACCCAGCTCGACAAGCAATCTGGAGAATCTGGCCAGAGGACTGGAGCCTGATATCCAGCCTGGAGACGAGTTTATCGTCACTGGGGAGCACGAAGGTTTGTCCTAATTCACATTTTTTGTTTTCTTGCCACTAACCTCGATAGCTAATTGCGGCGCCTGGAAGAAACTTGCAGCACGACGTGGAGCCGTGGTCAAATACTGGCATTCCACGCCAACCCACCCCAATAATCCCTATTCATTCTCCCTCAAAGTGGAAGACTTGTTGCCCTTGATCACCGCCAAAACACGGATCGTGGCATTTACTGCGACCTCGAATTTGCTTGGATCGGTTGTGCCAGTCCAAGAGATTACCAGGGCCCTCAGAGCAGATGCCGCTGCGAAAGGCGCAAAGAAAGTAGAGGTTTCAATTGACTGTGTTGCTTACGCACCACATCGCCGGATGGACGTGAAAGCTTGGGATATTGTGGGTTAACTACTTCAACAATACCACTCGTCTGACTGTCATCCAGGACTTCTGTGTCTTTTCGTTTTACATTTCTGCCCTCTTTGTTTACACGCTGTATATACTTGATATACTTGAATATATATGTGCCCTTTTGTGCGTGCGGCGCGGCGCCTCCACGGCTCTGGCGTCCCGCCACGTCTCTCGCCTCACACGCCAAGTCGACGCGGTCACGTGCGTCGCGTTTAATTTTGGACTTGCGCGATTTTATCAATTTTGCAATAGTTTTGGCTGGAGAAAAAGTGAGATGTACCCAAAAACGCGTTAATTAGGCTTAACGAACGCGCTCCGGGTAGACAACCCCATTCTGCACTTTCTTCAGTGCTGGGCCAAGGTTTCCCCTCCCGAAGGTAAAGGCAGCGCGGACAACAAAAAAAAATAATGACATAAGCACTCACTGGAGGAGGGACATTGCGACACAGCATCTTCAGAGTGAATAAGTAACAGCATTGTTGAGTGAACGAGCTGCAGGCCTCCTTGTCTGAGGTAATACTGCTGTTTGCTGGTCCGAGTCAGCCAGCAGCTTAACACAGAGCAACAGCACTCACCACCACAACGACGAGGGAAAAGGCAGAAAGAGAGACTGGATGTGATGTGACCCCTCCCCGGCGTCACCCCTCTCGGAATATCTGATCGGACCTTACCCTGTTATGTTATATAGTGTTTCATGTGAGTCTTGAGTTCAACTCCCGATGTGGTCATCTGCACGCACTTGGGGAAAATTGTAAGTTCCAATGTTAAGTGGGTAAAAAAAAATCAAATATTAGTGGTCTGTTGCTCTCAGTTCAGATGTAGGGTTTCAGCAATACTCCAGACTAAAAAGTGGGTAAAATCACTGTGTCTAACAGAAAGTATTTCTGATGTTTGTGCTAAACACTTCCCAAAATAGCAATTTCCGGACCTGATGAGGAGGCCTATCCTCTGGAAAATCAGATAGCAATTAAACAAAATGTGGTGTTAACAAGGTAAAAATCAAGTCACATTAGGGATTTGCGCAGCAGGACTGTTTTGTGGGAAAGCTGGTGCTGAATGTGGTTAGCTGATTGGATTTAAATCAAGGCTGCGGATTTCCATACTGCACATAACTTGGAAATTATGTGCATTCCACAAATAAGTCTAGCTTTGAGCTGCTCTTCTTTTTCACCAAAACCCCAATGTGAATATGGGTCTGGACCAAAGTTTGATGTTGGGGGTTCTTGAAGGTTTGACAGATTTTGGAACTTGTCACTTCCCAAAATGGGAATTCCTCTCCCAGAATGGTAATTTTGGGCCTGATTAGAACATTTATACTAAGTAAATAAACAGAAAGTAAAAAGTGGGTAAAAATCAAATCTGTCTCAATTCAGCATATTTTGTGCTAGTCTTAGTTTGGTAGTTAGCGTGGCAAATGTGCCAAAATGATATACAGATTTACTACTTATTGCTTCCGAAAATGGTAATTCCTTGCTATTTGAGCCTAATCAACTTTCAGGAAAATGAAAAGTGGGTAAAATTAAGTTTTGGTGTTTGGGCTGACAAATCTGCCGCCAATAAAAAGTGGGTAAAAATCAAATAAAAAACTTTCTTACCCAAGTTTACACTATCAAACCATGAGTTTTTAGTGAAATTAGAAGGTTGAGCCAAAGCCAGACTTATATATAAGCCCAATAAAAAGTAGGTAAAAATCAAATAAAAACTTTGCTTTGTGATGGGAGATCAGTGGCCTAGTTCAGCATTATGTTGGGTCACAGTAGTCACATTAGATCATTAGATCCATTGCACGGTCAACAATTGGAATGGTCAACTGCTCCAACATATTGCACTTCTTAACCACTGACAGGTGCATGGACTGTGCCATCAGCAGTCTAAAGAGGCGGTGATTGGAGTAGATTGATTTGACACAAAAATCAAATAAAAAACTTTACATTTATGTGTCTAGTGATGGCCAAGTCCAGTTCAGTCCAGGTCTTGGCCTAATTTGGCTGACCACCAGACTGCTAGTTTGGTTCAAAACACAGATTTGGTGAACCTGAATGCTGAACCCCAGTTTGAACTGATCCTGAACCAGCCTTTTTGGGGCAAAATGGCCAAATGTGGTCGAACCTAAGCCCTGGTTCTATTTGGAAATGTCTTTGGCTGAACGTGAACACTGAACCTCAGTTCAGTCCGGTTAAGTTTGGTCCAGTTAAGCTTAGGTTTGAACCAAAAACCCGGACCAAACCTGGCCATCACTATGTGTGCCAGCCAAAACAGTCTTTGGAGTTAGTAATCCCATCAGGGTTTTGCGCCAAAACGGTCACCCAAAGCTGAACTTATATAGCAGAGATCGGGGCCTAAATCAGTGCCCTAAATTTCTGATGAATCAAAGGCCTTGATTGTGGAGCATGTGACGTCAAAATTACCTTATTTGGTAATTCGGACATCGGATCTGCGACGTTGATTTGTCAGAAATTGGGTGCCCATTTTTGGCACCTGATTTCTCACAAAAAAGTCCAGCTCCGGGTCGCTGTTTTTGTGCAAAACCTGATGTGAATGGTCACACTAAACAGTAGATAAGATTTGAATGGAAGCTAGCATTTGGATTATAGGTCCAAACTAAAGATGTCATCTAAAATGGGTCAAGAACTGGGCTAAACTGCCCGTAATGAATCTCAAATATGTATAGAGAACCAGACTTAATGATAGTCCTGATAAAAAGTAAGTGGGAACTTTTGCTACATATTGTCTTGAAAAGGATACTATTAGAAATCTAACATAGTTAGAAGGCATTATTGTAAGAGACTTCATAACAAAAGCTAGTGAGAAAGAAGAAAAATTAAAAGAAAGATGTCCTTAAAATGCTGGGGAAATGGCAATTTCCGATTCACCGTCACAGTCGGGCAGCTGTCAAAATGTTTCATAAGGCTTTGTCGGAGGTCCGGAAGCCGGTCACGTGACCTTATCGCATGCTACCGCCTGCCGCCAAAAAGGGAAATTCTCAAATCAGCCGCTGTTATATAGCTAGAAATGCTCCGATTTGGCTCAAATTTTAGGAGGACGTGATTACGTAATCGCTCCTTCGACCCAAGCTTTTGGCGGTAGGGAAAGAGCACTCGAATATATGATCTTCCTCAGGTGTGTTATTTCGCTGATTCCTGAGATTCTGAGCCAGGGGATGGGCCGATTACCTCCGAAATTTCATCAGTTCACGTGACAATCCCTACCATCCACTTCGCCGCTCCAGATTCCCCAAGGAATCCTTTACTCCGCCGAAATTTCATACAACACCCCAAAGTTCCGCGTTTCTCAGCGGCGAAGTCGCGATTTTAACATGAAACATGCTGGTATCACGGCACCATCACCCCTTGTGTCACTCGCTTGCAATATGGGCGCTCCGCTCGCTGAGTATCCCGTATTTTCCTTCCAACCTCGCAACTTACTTTTTCATGTTTTGGTCTCTTACAGTGTGGTATCTCACACTGAAAGGTTTTCTGACCACACATTAAGATTATATTCAACCCATCTATACACGCTAACTGCCCAATATACACCCAGAATCCACTCTAAACCGGATTCCACGGTTTACCGGCAGTGGCGAGATCGCCCAGGTCCCGCTGTCAGCGACGCGTCTATCCGGCAAGCGTTCCCCCTGACATATCGTAACTCGCGTGCGCCGAGCGCCGACGGGCACTGGGTATAAAACCCAGCCCCCAATCCGACAGTTCCATCATTCCTCCCTTTCCTCTCCCCCCACTTTTCTCCTTGCTCTGATGTCGCCATCGTCGTCCTCTCCCCAGCCGAGCTCGCTGTCCTTGCCCACCACGCTCGCCGGGCTTGTCGTTGTCGGCAGGTGAGTTGTCGCTGCTTCGTCCTCGGCTTCTGACCCGTTACAGTGTTCTGTTTGAGGCTTGTGTATCGCCGAGGCATTGTTAATAGTTGTAAAGGTGAGTGGTCTTCTCTTGATATTGTTGTCTTGCTTACCGTTCAGCCCGTTGATATCAAGTGGTTGTAGGCACCAACGCCGGGGTCTTCAGCGACAACACCGTTGTTCTGGAAGTGGAATGCGACGTCTTAGACCTTGGTGAGTTTGTTACCATTTCCTTTCCTGCAAACAGTGACTTACCGCATTACAGTCGCCTCGATCACGAGCCCTTGCCATTCAAGTTGTTGGGACTTTGGTCCACTCCCTCAACTCCAGGTACGGCAAGAACGACGCGAAACAACTCGCCAGCGCTGTCTCGAATTCCCTTCCGCGGACCACCAGGTCATTGATGTCTTCATCACAGATTTCTTGACTGGGATGTCTCGGTACGGCAGTCCTTGCGCGAACAGTGGGTTGGATGAGGAGCGCGGTGAGAGTTGTTGCCAAAACTGGCTGCGGGTCAGTGCGGAGGGAACAAGTTGGCGTTGTGGAGGTAGCGCGCCTAACTTCAAGTCGTGGCCGTACAGCTTGCAGCCGCAGTCGGAGGACTTGACGAGGTTAAACCTCGAGTTGCCGTTAGAAGAGGGGGCGGGACTTGGCCGGCTCTGGCCGAAGGTTATCGGTGAGTCGTCATCTTGCTGCCGCTGTTCCCCAACACTTATTTTTCCAGCCCAACCTCTCTGCGACCATGGACGGCGTTGATATCGGCGAGGTGGTGTTTGTGGTTGCGATGGACGGCAAAGGTGAGTCGGGTCAGCTCTGGGGTTGTCGCTGTTGCCTAAACGGTGAGCATCGCGGTTGACAGTGTCGGAAGCGTAAGATGGTGTTGCGCAAAGTGAGTCGTGTCGTATTGCTCATGCTACCCTTGTGCTTCTGTGCCGAATTGCCGCTGGGAGAGGAAGAGGATGCTGGGTACGACTTGGGCGGCTCCGCGTTGGCCGCGTTAAAGCCGGAAGTTATTGGTGAGTCGTTGTTGCCCGCTGCTGCTCCCTAGCTCATCTTCGCAGTCTGTGCCGAGTTGCCATCTGGAAGGAAAGAGCTTTCGGTTCCAGGGCTCTCCGCGTTGGCAGCGGGGCGGTTGTGTCGTTTGTCACGATAGACTCTTGAGTCGGTGTGGATGCAACATAGCCATTTGAGTCAGCGCCAAGCCTTCGTTGTCGAGGGCATAGTCTGCAGTACGGCCAGTACCGAGCCCAGCTGAGATAGCCACTGTCGTCATCTTGGTTGTTGACATCGTCTTCAGTTGGTGAGTTACTGTTCGCTGTTGTCTCGATGTTGTGCTGAGCAGTTGTCGCCGCAGTAAATCACGCTGGGTAGGTATCTCGTTGTCCCCCGAACGCGCGCCCCGTCGGGCGTTGGTGGTGGTTGGCTCTGGGCTCGTGATCGATCGGCGATCGATCGGCCGGCCCGTGTCATGCACGTGCGCGCCGAAGAGTAGCCGGTACTTATTTCTTCCTTCCCCAAACCTGTCCCAGCGATATATTCGCCTTGTGCATCGGCTCGTTCGGAGTTGCAAAGGTGAGTCGCCGTGTTGACATGCTGGGTATCTTGCTGAGGCGCCGCGTTGACTAGTTCGGAGGCGGCATTGGAGTGGAACCCGCTGTCGTTGTTCCTGGCCCAGCAAGTGAGTGCTACTCGGCCAGAGTTTGTGATCCTGACATTTTCTCAGTACATTCTTGACCTTACGGACAGCACTGACCTCTGGCGCGAGCAACGTTCTTCAGCGCGTTGCACGCCGAGGCCGGTCAAAGTTGTGGCCGAGATTGGTCAGAGGTCGGCGCGCGCGGACCGTTCAACTGAGCTTGGTGTTGGCCGAGCTGCAGTTGGGAGAGGAGAGGATGTCGGAAGCAAGGGGCCGCACTTCTTGTTCTTCGCGAGTGAGTTGCGGCTCCTTTCCCTTCAGACGTTGCCTTACCTGTTCCCAGCCGAACTTGCTCTGGCATACCGTGTTGCGGAGGAGTTAAGAATAGATTCTCAAGAGGTGGGTGATCGGGCGGTCGAGCCTCCCTGGTCTCACGGCTGACACTGACAGATTCCCCATCCGGCTCCATCACACGTGAACGAGTGTGGGCGACGGAACACCTCGAGAGAGCGTCTCAAGAGGTATATTGAGCTGCTCATCTAAAGAAATGAGTATGGAAACTAATTGGCATATACACAGTGTTTTAGTGTTGCTTAGGTTCATATTTTCCTTATTCCAACTGGAGTTCCCTATGTTGGTAGCAGAGTGTCGTGTTTGAAAGAGCTACAGGCATGGAAAGTGAAGACCTGGAAGGTGGTTAGTGACAAATCTGCCCTACAGTGCAAGTTGCGTGCAAGACAATTGAGTGGCAGACGCTACGTTACTACTTGTGACTACACTACCGGAGTGACTTCCTAATCTGGGGGGGTCGCTGTGATGGCAGATCCAATGTGCCCGATCTCCCGATCACTCACCTCTTGTAGATTCTGGTAATCCAGTCCATGTATCGGTTAATCTCAATAGATATGGAATGACACGGTGAGAACTTGAACGCGGACCGACACTGTATTACAGTAGCTCTTACAGTTGATTTCATGCTTTGGTTCTTTGCAAAGCTTGGATTGTTGGGTCTTGGCAAAGCCAACGTTAATTCTGGAAGGCGATAACTGAATCGCTTGGCCCGGTATATGACCAAGGGTCTACTTGTTTTGTTCTGTCAAAAGGTGAATCTGGAGTCGACAACCAAGATAGTAGCGATTGGCCGCAATAGGGTCGAGATGCAACGAGTGGGTTTTCCCCGTGCATTCAAGTGGGGAAGCTTTTGTTCAAGTTGCGGAGTCACTGTGACCAACTCTTTCACTTGCAGCGAGCATGATCAAGCCGTGTTCCCTATTACTTCGCTCGTGCCCCGCAAAAAGCCGTCCATAAAAAGCGAATGGTCCCATTGGCCATCCGAGTCCCCGGGTTATCGCAACCCGTGCCGGAATCGATTTTCACATCGCTTCGATGGCGGCCCCCCATATCCTCGACGTCGACTTTGCTCGCTCGCAGTTTCCAGCACTCAAAGCTGGCTTCATCTTCGCCGACAACGCCGGGCGGCAGCCAAGTTACCCAGTCCGCCATCGATCTCATCGTCGACTATCTCACCAACACCAATGCCCAACTGGGAGCCGACTACAGCGTCTCGGCTGTGAGCACGGCGGGTGGAGAGCGCGGCAGAGGAAGCGAGGACGCTGTTCAATGCCGAGAGCAACAGCGAAATTGCCTTTGGACCCAGCTCGACAAGCAATCTGGAGAATCTGGCCAGAGGACTGGAGCCTGATATCCAGCCTGGAGACGAGTTTATCGTCACTGGGGAGCACGAAGGTTTGTCCTAATTCACATTTTTTGTTTTCTTGCCACTAACCTCGATAGCTAATTGCGGCGCCTGGAAGAAACTTGCAGCACGACGTGGAGCCGTGGTCAAATACTGGCATTCCACGCCAACCCACCCCAATAATCCCTATTCATTCTCCCTCAAAGTGGAAGACTTGTTGCCCTTGATCACCGCCAAAACACGGATCGTGGCATTTACTGCGACCTCGAATTTGCTTGGATCGGTTGTGCCAGTCCAAGAGATTACCAGGGCCCTCAGAGCAGATGCCGCTGCGAAAGGCGCGAAGAAAGTAGAGGTTTCAATTGACTGTGTTGCTTACGCACCACATCGCCGGATGGACGTGAAAGCTTGGGATATTGTGGGTTAACTACTTCAACAATACCACTCGTCTGACTGTCATCCAGGACTTCTGTGTCTTTTCGTTTTACATTTCTGCCCTCTTTGTTTACACGCTGTATATACTTGATATACTTGAATATATATGTGCCCTTTTGTGCGTGCGGCGCGGCGCCTCCACGAAGCTCTGGCGTCCCGCCACGTCTCTCGCCTCACACGCCAAGTCGACGCGGTCACGTGCGTCGCGTTTAATTTTGGACTTGCGCGATTTTATCAATTTTGCAATAGTTTTGGCTGGAGAAAAAGTGAGATGTACCCAAAAACGCGTTAATTAGGCTTAACGAACGCGTGCTCCGGGTAGACAACCCCATTCTGCACTTTCTTCAGTGCTGGGCCAAGGTTTCCCCTCCCGAAGGTAAAGGCAGCGCGGACAACAAAAAAAAATAATGACATAAGCACTCACTGGAGGAGGGACATTGCGACACAGCATCTTCAGAGTGAATAAGTAACAGCATTGTTGAGTGAACGAGCTGCAGGCCTCCTTGTCTGAGGTAATACTGCTGTTTGCTGGTCCGAGTCAGCCAGCAGCTTAACACAGAGCAACAGCACTCACCACCACAACGACGAGGGAAAAGGCAGAAAGAGAGACTGGATGTGATGTGACCCCTCCCGCGGCGTCACCCCTCTCGGAATATCTGATCGGACCTTACCCTGTTATGTTATATAGTGTTTCATGTGAGTCTTGAGTTCAACTCCCGATGTGGTCATCTGCACGCACTTGGGGAAAATTGTAAGTTCCAATGTTAAGTGGGTAAAAAAAAATCAAATATTAGTGGTCTGTTGCTCTCAGTTCAGATGTAGGGTTTCAGCAATACTCCAGACTAAAAAGTGGGTAAAATCACTGTGTCTAACAGAAAGTATTTCTGATGTTTGTGCTAAACACTTCCCAAAATAGCAATTTCCGGACCTGATGAGGAGGCCTATCCTCTGGAAAATCAGATAGCAATTAAACAAAATGTGGTGTTAACAAGGTAAAAATCAAGTCACATTAGGGATTTGCGCAGCAGGACTGTTTTGTGGGAAAGCTGGTGCTGAATGTGGTTAGCTGATTGGATTTAAATCAAGGCTGCGGATTTCCATACTGCACATAACTTGGAAATTATGTGCATTCCACAAATAAGTCTAGCTTTGAGCTGCTCTTCTTTTTCACCAAAACCCCAATGTGAATATGGGTCTGGACCAAAGTTTGATGTTGGGGGTTCTTGAAGGTTTGACAGATTTTGGAACTTGTCACTTCCCAAAATGGGAATTCCTCTCCCAGAATGGTAATTTTGGGCCTGATTAGAACATTTATACTAAGTAAATAAACAGAAAGTAAAAAGTGGGTAAAAATCAAATCTGTCTCAATTCAGCATATTTTGTGCTAGTCTTAGTTTGGTAGTTAGCGTGGCAAATGTGCCAAAATGATATACAGATTTACTACTTATTGCTTCCGAAAATGGTAATTCCTTGCTATTTGAGCCTAATCAACTTTCAGGAAAATGAAAAGTGGGTAAAATTAAGTTTTGGTGTTTGGGCTGACAAATCTGCCGCCAATAAAAAAGTGGGTAAAAATCAAATAAAAAACTTTCTTACCCAAGTTTACACTATCAAACCATGAGTTTTTAGTGAAATTAGAAGGTTGAGCCAAAGCCAGACTTATATATAAGCCCAATAAAAAGTAGGTAAAAATCAAATAAAAACTTTGCTTTGTGATGGGAGATCAGTGGCCTAGTTCAGCATTATGTTGGGTCACAGTAGTCACATTAGATCATTAGATCCATTGCACGGTCAACAATTGGAATGGTCAACTGCTCCAACATATTGCACTTCTTAACCACTGACAGGTGCATGGACTGTGCCATCAGCAGTCTAAAGAGGCGGTGATTGGAGTAGATTGATTTGACACAAAAATCAAATAAAAAACTTTACATTTATGTGTCTAGTGATGGCCAAGTCCAGTTCAGTCCAGGTCTTGGCCTAATTTGGCTGACCACCAGACTGCTAGTTTGGTTCAAAACACAGATTTGGTGAACCTGAATGCTGAACCCCAGTTTGAACTGATCCTGAACCAGCCTTTTTGGGGCAAAATGGCCAAATGTGGTCGAACCTAAGCCCTGGTTCTATTTGGAAATGTCTTTGGCTGAACGTGAACACTGAACCTCAGTTCAGTCCGGTTAAGTTTGGTCCAGTTAAGCTTAGGTTTGAACCAAAAACCCGGACCAAACCTGGCCATCACTATGTGTGCCAGCCAAAACAGTCTTTGGAGTTAGTAATCCCATCAGGGTTTTGCGCCAAAACGGTCACCCAAAGCTGAACTTATATAGCAGAGATCGGGGCCTAAATCAGTGCCCTAAATTTCTGATGAATCAAAGGCCTTGATTGTGGAGCATGTGACGTCAAAATTACCTTATTTGGTAATTCGGACATCGGATCTGCGACGTTGATTTGTCAGAAATTGGGTGCCCATTTTTGGCACCTGATTTCTCACAAAAAAGTCCAGCTCCGGGTCGCTGTTTTTGTGCAAAACCTGATGTGAATGGTCACACTAAACAGTAGATAAGATTTGAATGGAAGCTAGCATTTGGATTATAGGTCCAAACTAAAGATGTCATCTAAAATGGGTCAAGAACTGGGCTAAACTGCCCGTAATGAATCTCAAATATGTATAGAGAACCAGACTTAATGATAGTCCTGATAAAAAGTAAGTGGGAACTTTTGCTACATATTGTCTTGAAAAGGATACTATTAGAAATCTAACATAGTTAGAAGGCATTATTGTAAGAGACTTCATAACAAAAGCTAGTGAGAAAGAAGAAAAATTAAAAGAAAGATGTCCTTAAAATGCTGGGGAAATGGCAATTTCCGATTCACCGTCACAGTCGGGCAGCTGTCAAAATGTTTCATAAGGCTTTGTCGGAGGTCCGGAAGCCGGTCACGTGACCTTATCGCATGCTACCGCCTGCCGCCAAAAAGGGAAATTCTCAAATCAGCCGCTGTTATATAGCTAGAAATGCTCCGATTTGGCTCAAATTTTAGGAGGACGTGATTACGTAATCGCTCCTTCGACCCAAGCTTTTGGCGGTAGGGAAAGAGCACTCGAATATATGATCTTCCTCAGGTGTGTTATTTCGCTGATTCCTGAGATTCTGAGCCAGGGGATGGGCCGATTACCTCCGAAATTTCATCAGTTCACGTGACAATCCCTACCATCCACTTCGCCGCTCCAGATTCCCCAAGGAATCCTTTACTCCGCCGAAATTTCATACAACACCCCAAAGTTCCGCGTTTCTCAGCGGCGAAGTCGCGATTTTAACATGAAACATGCTGGTATCACGGCACCATCACCCCTTGTGTCACTCGCTTGCAATATGGGCGCTCCGCTCGCTGAGTATCCCGTATTTTCCTTCCAACCTCGCAACTTACTTTTTCATGTTTTGGTCTCTTACAGTGTGGTATCTCACACTGAAAGGTTTTCTGACCACACATTAAGATTATATTCAACCCATCTATACACGCTAACTGCCCAATATACACCCAGAATCCACTCTAAACCGGATTCCACGGTTTACCGGCAGTGGCGAGATCGCCCAGGTCCCGCTGTCAGCGACGCGTCTATCCGGCAAGCGTTCCCCCTGACATATCGTAACTCGCGTGCGCCGAGCGCCGACGGGCACTGGGTATAAAACCCAGCCCCCAATCCGACAGTTCCATCATTCCTCCCTTTCCTCTCCCCCACTTTTCTCCTTGCTCTGATGTCGCCATCGTCGTCCTCTCCCCAGCCGAGCTCGCTGTCCTTGCCCACCACGCTCGCCGGGCTTGTCGTTGTCGGCAGGTGAGTTGTCGCTGCTTCGTCCTCGGCTTCTGACCCGTTACAGTGTTCTGTTTGAGGCTTGTGTATCGCCGAGGCATTGTTAATAGTTGTAAAGGTGAGTGGTCTTCTCTTGATATTGTTGTCTTGCTTACCGTTCAGCCCGTTGATATCAAGTGGTTGTAGGCACCAACGCCGGGGTCTTCAGCGACAACACCGTTGTTCTGGAAGTGGAATGCGACGTCTTAGACCTTGGTGAGTTTGTTACCATTTCCTTTCCTGCAAACAGTGACTTACCGCATTACAGTCGCCTCGATCACGAGCCCTTGCCATTCAAGTTGTTGGGACTTTGGTCCACTCCCTCAACTCCAGGTACGGCAAGAACGACGCGAAACAACTCGCCAGCGCTGTCTCGAATTCCCTTCCGCGGACCACCAGGTCATTGATGTCTTCATCACAGATTTCTTGACTGGGATGTCTCGGTACGGCAGTCCTTGCGCGAACAGTGGGTTGGATGAGGAGCGCGGTGAGAGTTGTTGCCAAAACTGGCTGCGGGTCAGTGCGGAGGGAACAAGTTGGCGTTGTGGAGGTAGCGCGCCTAACTTCAAGTCGTGGCCGTACAGCTTGCAGCCGCAGTCGGAGGACTTGACGAGGTTAAACCTCGAGTTGCCGTTAGAAGAGGGGGCGGGACTTGGCCGGCTCTGGCCGAAGGTTATCGGTGAGTCGTCATCTTGCTGCCGCTGTTCCCCAACACTTATTTTTCCAGCCCAACCTCTCTGCGACCATGGACGGCGTTGATATCGGCGAGGTGGTGTTTGTGGTTGCGATGGACGGCAAAGGTGAGTCGGGTCAGCTCTGGGGTTGTCGCTGTTGCCTAAACGGTGAGCATCGCGGTTGACAGTGTCGGAAGCGTAAGATGGTGTTGCGCAAAGTGAGTCGTGTCGTATTGCTCATGCTACCCTTGTGCTTCTGTGCCGAATTGCCGCTGGGAGAGGAAGAGGATGCTGGGTACGACTTGGGCGGCTCCGCGTTGGCCGCGTTAAAGCCGGAAGTTATTGGTGAGTCGTTGTTGCCCGCTGCTGCTCCTAGCTCATCTTCGCAGTCTGTGCCGAGTTGCCATCTGGAAGGAAAGAGCTTTCGGTTCCAGGGCTCTCCGCGTTGGCAGCGGGGCGGTTGTGTCGTTTGTCACGATAGACTCTTGAGTCGGTGTGGATGCAACATAGCCATTTGAGTCAGCGCCAAGCCTTCGTTGTCGAGGGCATAGTCTGCAGTACGGCCAGTACCGAGCCCAGCTGAGATAGCCACTGTCGTCATCTTGGTTGTTGACATCGTCTTCAGTTGGTGAGTTACTGTTCGCTGTTGTCTCGATGTTGTGCTGAGCAGTTGTCGCCGCAGTAAATCACGCTGGGTAGGTATCTCGTTGTCCCCGAACGCGCGCCCCGTCGGGCGTTGGTGGTGGTTGGCTCTGGGCTCGTGATCGATCGGCGATCGATCGGCCGGCCCGTGTCATGCACGTGCGCGCCGAAGAGTAGCCGGTACTTATTTCTTCCTTCCCCAAACCTGTCCCAGCGATATATTCGCCTTGTGCATCGGCTCGTTCGGAGTTGCAAAGGTGAGTCGCCGTGTTGACATGCTGGGTATCTTGCTGAGGCGCCGCGTTGACTAGTTCGGAGGCGGCATTGGAGTGGAACCCGCTGTCGTTGTTCCTGGCCCAGCAAGTGAGTGCTACTCGGCCAGAGTTTGTGATCCTGACATTTTCTCAGTACATTCTTGACCTTACGGACAGCACTGACCTCTGGCGCGAGCAACGTTCTTCAGCGCGTTGCACGCCGAGGCCGGTCAAAGTTGTGGCCGAGATTGGTCAGAGGTCGGCGCGCGCGACCGTTCAACTGAGCTTGGTGTTGGCCGAGCTGCAGTTGGGAGAGGAGAGGATGTCGGAAGCAAGGGGCCGCACTTCTTGTTCTTCGCGAGTGAGTTGCGGCTCCTTTCCCTTCAGACGTTGCCTTACCTGTTCCCAGCCGAACTTGCTCTGGCATACCGTGTTGCGGAGGAGTTAAGAATAGATTCTCAAGAGGTGGGTGATCGGGCGGTCGAGCCTCCCTGGTCTCACGGCTGACACTGACAGATTCCCCATCCGGCTCCATCACACGTGAACGAGTGTGGGCGACGGAACACCTCGAGAGAGCGTCTCAAGAGGTATATTGAGCTGCTCATCTAAAGAAATGAGTATGGAAACTAATTGGCATATACACAGTGTTTTAGTGTTGCTTAGGTTCATATTTTCCTTATTCCAACTGGAGTTCCCTATGTTGGTAGCAGAGTGTCGTGTTTGAAAGAGCTACAGGCATGGAAAGTGAAGACCTGGAAGGTGGTTAGTGACAAATCTGCCCTACAGTGCAAGTTGCGTGCAAGACAATTGAGTGGCAGACGCTACGTTACTACTTGTGACTACACTACCGGAGTGACTTCCTAATCTGGGGGGGGTCGCTGTGATGGCAGATCCAATGTGCCCGATCTCCCGATCACTCACCTCTTGTAGATTCTGGTAATCCAGTCCATGTATCGGTTAATCTCAATAGATATGGAATGACACGGTGAGAACTTGAACGCGGACCGACACTGTATTACAGTAGCTCTTACAGTTGATTTCATGCTTTGGTTCTTTGCAAAGCTTGGATTGTTGGGTCTTGGCAAAGCCAACGTTAATTCTGGAAGGCGATAACTGAATCGCTTGGCCCGGTATATGACCAAGGGTCTACTTGTTTTGTTCTGTCAAAAGGTGAATCTGGAGTCGACAACCAAGATAGTAGCGATTGGCCAATAATAGGGTCGAGATGCAACGAGTGGGTTTTCCCCGTGCATTCAAGTGGGGAAGCTTTTGTTCAAGTTGCGGAGTCACTGTGACCAACTCTTTCACTTGCAGCGAGCATGATCAAGCCGTGTTCCCTATTACTTCGCTCGTGCCCCGCAAAAGCCGTCCATAAAAAGCGAATGGTCCCATTGGCCATCCGAGTCCCCGGGTTATCGCAACCCGTGCCGGAATCGATTTTCACATCGCTTCGATGGCGGCCCCCCATATCCTCGACGTCGACTTTGCTCGCTCGCAGTTTCCAGCACTCAAAGCTGGCTTCATCTTCGCCGACAACGCCGGGCGGCAGCCAAGTTACCCAGTCCGCCATCGATCTCATCGTCGACTATCTCACACCAACACCAATGCCCAACTGGGAGCCGACTACAGCGTCTCGGCTGTGAGCACGGCGGGGTGGAGAGCGCGGCAGAGGAAGCGAGGACGCTGTTCAATGCCGAGAGCAACAGCGAAATTGCCTTTGGACCCAGCTCGACAAGCAATCTGGAGAATCTGGCCAGAGGACTGGAGCCTGATATCCAGCCTGGAGACGAGTTTATCGTCACTGGGGAGCACGAAGGTTTGTCCTAATTCACATTTTTTGTTTTCTTGCCACTAACCTCGATAGCTAATTGCGGCGCCTGGAAGAAACTTGCAGCACGACGTGGAGCCGTGGTCAAATACTGGCATTCCACGCCAACCCACCCCAATAATCCCTATTCATTCTCCCTCAAAGTGGAAGACTTGTTGCCCTTGATCACCGCCAAAACACGGATCGTGGCATTTACTGCGACCTCGAATTTGCTTGGATCGGTTGTGCCAGTCCAAGAGATTACCAGGGCCCTCAGAGCAGATGCCGCTGCGAAAGGCGAAGAAAGTAGAGGTTTCAATTGACTGTGTTGCTTACGCACCACATCGCCGGATGGACGTGAAAGCTTGGGATATTGTGGGTTAACTACTTCAACAATACCACTCGTCTGACTGTCATCCAGGACTTCTGTGTCTTTTCGTTTTACATTTCTGCCCTCTTTGTTTACACGCTGTATATACTTGATATACTTGAATATATATGTGCCCTTTTGTGCGTGCGGCGGGCGCGCCTCCACGAAGCTCTGGCGTCCCGCCACGTCTCTCGCCTCACACGCCAAGTCGACGCGGTCACGTGCGTCGCGTTTAATTTTGGACTTGCGCGATTTTATCAATTTTGCAATAGTTTTGGCTGGAGAAAAAGTGAGATGTACCCAAAAAGCGTTAATTAGGCTTAACGAACGCGTGCTCCGGGTAGACAACCCCATTCTGCACTTTCTTCAGTGCTGGGCCAAGGTTTCCCCCCCCGAAGGTAAAGGCAGCGGGACAACAAAAAAAAATAATGACATAAGCACTCACTGGAGGAGGGACATTGCGACACAGCATCTTCAGAGTGAATAAGTAACAGCATTGTTGAGTGAACGAGCTGCAGGCCTCCTTGTCTGAGGTAATACTGCTGTTTGCTGGTCCGAGTCAGCCAGCAGCTTAACACAGAGCAACAGCACTCACCACCACAACGACGAGGGAAAAGGCAGAAAGAGAGACTGGATGTGATGTGACCCCTCCCGCGGCGTCACCCCTCTCGGAATATCTGATCGGACCTTACCCTGTTATGTTATATAGTGTTTCATGTGAGTCTTGAGTTCAACTCCCGATGTGGTCATCTGCACGCACTTGGGGAAAATTGTAAGTTCCAATGTTAAGTGGGTAAAAAAAAATCAAATATTAGTGGTCTGTTGCTCTCAGTTCAGATGTAGGGTTTCAGCAATACTCCAGACTAAAAAGTGGGTAAAATCACTGTGTCTAACAGAAAGTATTTCTGATGTTTGTGCTAAACACTTCCCAAAATAGCAATTTCCGGACCTGATGAGGAGGCCTATCCTCTGGAAAATCAGATAGCAATTAAACAAAATGTGGTGTTAACAAGGTAAAAATCAAGTCACATTAGGGATTTGCGCAGCAGGACTGTTTTGTGGGAAAGCTGGTGCTGAATGTGGTTAGCTGATTGGATTTAAATCAAGGCTGCGGATTTCCATACTGCACATAACTTGGAAATTATGTGCATTCCACAAATAAGTCTAGCTTTGAGCTGCTCTTCTTTTTCACCAAAACCCCAATGTGAATATGGGTCTGGACCAAAGTTTGATGTTGGGGGTTCTTGAAGGTTTGACAGATTTTGGAACTTGTCACTTCCCAAAATGGGAATTCCTCTCCCAGAATGGTAATTTTGGGCCTGATTAGAACATTTATACTAAGTAAATAAACAGAAAGTAAAAAGTGGGTAAAAATCAAATCTGTCTCAATTCAGCATATTTTGTGCTAGTCTTAGTTTGGTAGTTAGCGTGGCAAATGTGCCAAAATGATATACAGATTTACTACTTATTGCTTCCGAAAATGGTAATTCCTTGCTATTTGAGCCTAATCAACTTTCAGGAAAATGAAAAGTGGGTAAAATTAAGTTTTGGTGTTTGGGCTGACAAATCTGCCGCCAATAAAAAGTGGGTAAAAATCAAATAAAAAACTTTCTTACCCAAGTTTACACTATCAAACCATGAGTTTTTAGTGAAATTAGAAGGTTGAGCCAAAGCCAGACTTATATATAAGCCCAATAAAAAGTAGGTAAAAATCAAATAAAAACTTTGCTTTGTGATGGGAGATCAGTGGCCTAGTTCAGCATTATGTTGGGTCACAGTAGTCACATTAGATCATTAGATCCATTGCACGGTCAACAATTGGAATGGTCAACTGCTCCAACATATTGCACTTCTTAACCACTGACAGGTGCATGGACTGTGCCATCAGCAGTCTAAAGAGGCGGTGATTGGAGTAGATTGATTTGACACAAAAATCAAATAAAAAACTTTACATTTATGTGTCTAGTGATGGCCAAGTCCAGTTCAGTCCAGGTCTTGGCCTAATTTGGCTGACCACCAGACTGCTAGTTTGGTTCAAAACACAGATTTGGTGAACCTGAATGCTGAACCCCAGTTTGAACTGATCCTGAACCAGCCTTTTTGGGGCAAAATGGCCAAATGTGGTCGAACCTAAGCCCTGGTTCTATTTGGAAATGTCTTTGGCTGAACGTGAACACTGAACCTCAGTTCAGTCCGGTTAAGTTTGGTCCAGTTAAGCTTAGGTTTGAACCAAAAACCCGGACCAAACCTGGCCATCACTATGTGTGCCAGCCAAAACAGTCTTTGGAGTTAGTAATCCCATCAGGGTTTTGCGCCAAAACGGTCACCCAAAGCTGAACTTATATAGCAGAGATCGGGGCCTAAATCAGTGCCCTAAATTTCTGATGAATCAAAGGCCTTGATTGTGGAGCATGTGACGTCAAAATTACCTTATTTGGTAATTCGGACATCGGATCTGCGACGTTGATTTGTCAGAAATTGGGTGCCCATTTTTGGCACCTGATTTCTCACAAAAAAGTCCAGCTCCGGGTCGCTGTTTTTGTGCAAAACCTGATGTGAATGGTCACACTAAACAGTAGATAAGATTTGAATGGAAGCTAGCATTTGGATTATAGGTCCAAACTAAAGATGTCATCTAAAATGGGTCAAGAACTGGGCTAAACTGCCCGTAATGAATCTCAAATATGTATAGAGAACCAGACTTAATGATAGTCCTGATAAAAAGTAAGTGGGAACTTTTGCTACATATTGTCTTGAAAAGGATACTATTAGAAATCTAACATAGTTAGAAGGCATTATTGTAAGAGACTTCATAACAAAAGCTAGTGAGAAAGAAGAAAAATTAAAAGAAAGATGTCCTTAAAATGCTGGGGAAATGGCAATTTCCGATTCACCGTCACAGTCGGGCAGCTGTCAAAATGTTTCATAAGGCTTTGTCGGAGGTCCGGAAGCCGGTCACGTGACCTTATCGCATGCTACCGCCTGCCGCCAAAAAGGGAAATTCTCAAATCAGCCGCTGTTATATAGCTAGAAATGCTCCGATTTGGCTCAAATTTTAGGAGGACGTGATTACGTAATCGCTCCTTCGACCCAAGCTTTTGGCGGTAGGGAAAGAGCACTCGAATATATGATCTTCCTCAGGTGTGTTATTTCGCTGATTCCTGAGATTCTGAGCCAGGGGATGGGCCGATTACCTCCGAAATTTCATCAGTTCACGTGACAATCCCTACCATCCACTTCGCCGCTCCAGATTCCCCAAGGAATCCTTTACTCCGCCGAAATTTCATACAACACCCCAAAGTTCCGCGTTTCTCAGCGGCGAAGTCGCGATTTTAACATGAAACATGCTGGTATCACGGCACCATCACCCCTTGTGTCACTCGCTTGCAATATGGGCGCTCCGCTCGCTGAGTATCCCGTATTTTCCTTCCAACCTCGCAACTTACTTTTTCATGTTTTGGTCTCTTACAGTGTGGTATCTCACACTGAAAGGTTTTCTGACCACACATTAAGATTATATTCAACCCATCTATACACGCTAACTGCCCAATATACACCCAGAATCCACTCTAAACCGGATTCCACGGTTTACCGGCAGTGGCGAGATCGCCCAGGTCCCGCTGTCAGCGACGCGTCTATCCGGCAAGCGTTCCCCCTGACATATCGTAACTCGCGTGCGCCGAGCGCCGACGGGCACTGGGTATAAAACCCAGCCCCCAATCCGACAGTTCCATCATTCCTCCCTTTCCTCTCCCCCACTTTTCTCCTTGCTCTGATGTCGCCATCGTCGTCCTCTCCCCAGCCGAGCTCGCTGTCCTTGCCCACCACGCTCGCCGGGCTTGTCGTTGTCGGCAGGTGAGTTGTCGCTGCTTCGTCCTCGGCTTCTGACCCGTTACAGTGTTCTGTTTGAGGCTTGTGTATCGCCGAGGCATTGTTAATAGTTGTAAAGGTGAGTGGTCTTCTCTTGATATTGTTGTCTTGCTTACCGTTCAGCCCGTTGATATCAAGTGGTTGTAGGCACCAACGCCGGGGTCTTCAGCGACAACACCGTTGTTCTGGAAGTGGAATGCGACGTCTTAGACCTTGGTGAGTTTGTTACCATTTCCTTTCCTGCAAACAGTGACTTACCGCATTACAGTCGCCTCGATCACGAGCCCTTGCCATTCAAGTTGTTGGGACTTTGGTCCACTCCCTCAACTCCAGGTACGGCAAGAACGACGCGAAACAACTCGCCAGCGCTGTCTCGAATTCCCTTCCGCGGACCACCAGGTCATTGATGTCTTCATCACAGATTTCTTGACTGGGATGTCTCGGTACGGCAGTCCTTGCGCGAACAGTGGGTTGGATGAGGAGCGCGGTGAGAGTTGTTGCCAAAACTGGCTGCGGGTCAGTGCGGAGGGAACAAGTTGGCGTTGTGGAGGTAGCGCGCCTAACTTCAAGTCGTGGCCGTACAGCTTGCAGCCGCAGTCGGAGGACTTGACGAGGTTAAACCTCGAGTTGCCGTTAGAAGAGGGGGCGGGACTTGGCCGGCTCTGGCCGAAGGTTATCGGTGAGTCGTCATCTTGCTGCCGCTGTTCCCCAACACTTATTTTTCCAGCCCAACCTCTCTGCGACCATGGACGGCGTTGATATCGGCGAGGTGGTGTTTGTGGTTGCGATGGACGGCAAAGGTGAGTCGGGTCAGCTCTGGGGTTGTCGCTGTTGCCTAAACGGTGAGCATCGCGGTTGACAGTGTCGGAAGCGTAAGATGGTGTTGCGCAAAGTGAGTCGTGTCGTATTGCTCATGCTACCCTTGTGCTTCTGTGCCGAATTGCCGCTGGGAGAGGAAGAGGATGCTGGGTACGACTTGGGCGGCTCCGCGTTGGCCGCGTTAAAGCCGGAAGTTATTGGTGAGTCGTTGTTGCCCGCTGCTGCTCCCTAGCTCATCTTCGCAGTCTGTGCCGAGTTGCCATC